GGTCGCGCGTATGCTGACTGCCCTCAATGCAGCCCCGCTAGGTCCCCCACGTTTGCATGTCAAGTGTTTCTATGAGTGCTTGTCCCGCTCTGATACCATATGACACGGACTTAGCTGGTTTTGCCTAAGTCGTGCGGCACCCTTGCGTGTCCGTCCGCAAGGGTCAGCCTCCCCGAAGACTCCCATTGTCCCTTAGGACCAACAAAAGAGAGAACGGGAAAGAGAGAACGCCTCAATCGGGATCCACAAGCAAACATCTCCGAAAAACACTTCATAGACAATGCAAATTACAAACAGACTTTACAAGCTCTGAACAATGGCACAACAAAGGGTAAAATGGTCCATTACAGACCGAAAAGCTCCCGCACGTGTCCACATGACACAACCTTTATTTACAAGCTTAAAGAGGCCACCAACCCAACTAAAATGGGACTATTAAGCCTTCGGCCGCCCCTTTACATTCTGTACAGGGCATGAACATGCCAAAAGACACGGACACACATAAGCATTACATCCAACATCTTGTTGAGAAGTTTGTCCGTGACAAGCCGGTTAACATTTATAGACACTTTAAGAGAAGAGATGATCCATATGGTTCAGAAATTAGCGATCATTCAATGTTCTATTGCCTTCATAGGACTTTTTTTTTAATTACTACAGTCTTGATTTTGTTTCAACATAAGAAAACTATCAGAAACCCACCAGAAACACACATTAAAAAAACCTAACTGAAACTAACAGAAGAACATAATGAAACAGAGAACCTGGATATACACTATATTTTTCCAAAAACACGGAGACTTAAAGAAGTAGATGGAACATAGATGCAAACAGGCACAAACATGATATATGCATACTAAGAGGGCTATACATGATCCTTGTCAACATAATAAAGAGACACTACAAAAAGAATGTTTCAAACTTGTTCTACAAGAAGTTAGATAAAAGGCAGTAGACCATATCCAGCTTACGCTTTGTAACGCATCTCCAACCAGACCTCTTCATCTGAAAGGGGAGGGGATTTACCAATCTCTACCTCTAAGCGCAATCTTGCTCTCTCAAGCTTTAAAGTATTTATCATCTCAAGTTTCTGTTGTCTCCTAACATCAAGCATCTGGGCAGCAAGTGGTACAGTCTTGACATACCTATTATACACAGATTTTATATCAAGGGATTCAAAAGTGTAACATTGTTAATTGACCAAATTTGCAAAATCTAATTAATACCAAAATTAAGGGACACAAGGCAAGGAGATTTTCCTTTCTGGAACACATGGTGAGGAGATTTTCCTTTCTGGTTTATATATAAGACCCATAAACAAGCATGAAGAGTCCGTGACAGTCATGCTGGACTAAATGTGGTATACACACAAGGGAAAGAAGCAATTTTTTATTTTAGTTGTATCTTATGTTCAATTTGTGTAACTTCCGTGTTTGCAAGAGTGTTGAACAGGTAACTCTGAAGTCATAGAACTGAGGTATAATCATGCAAGAAGAATTGTATAGCCAAAAACACATTCAAAAGATTTCTTAAACATGAATAGAGTGGAAACCACAGACAGCTTATCATATTGCTCCTCTTAGCTGATGGGTACATATATGCTGGATAAGATCATGACAATGGACAGAGTCACACATATTTTTCTTGTTTGGTCTCCATAAAATTTCCGCTGATTCCAATATTAAGGTTCTGATATTAACAGAAGTATAAAAGCAACAATGTAGAAGTTGGGATACAAGCAATGTACAGAAATTACCTGTCTAAGAATGGCATCAGGACATAGTCATGAACCACAAAGTCTAGAATCCATGGAATGAGAATCAACAAAGCAACAAATTTTGCCTGTAAGCAGTCTATTTGAATCAGTGAATAATTGTCAACAGCCATGAGACAGAGAAATAATGATCTGACACATCATATTTGTGGAATGACTTCCAACCAAAGGTTTGCTAACAATTTTACCATATGCTAAAAGCTAAGAAGATCACAGATGCTATTATTAGTTAACTGCAAATACACAAGAAGCTATGTAAATCAGGCTGTACAGTAGTTATGTTGTAAAGAACATGCAATCCACATGTTTATGCTTCTATCCCTTTCCTTGAAGTGTGCAGGCCCAATCCAACGGAAGTACCAAAACTGTAATGTTCTTTCATTGTATGAATTACTTACTAACAGGTAACACTATATGCATAGTAATATCGGATGCATATTGTAACACTATATGCAAGGTAATTAATAAATGGAGATGATACATGGACCAATCATCTAACAGAGAAAATATTCCTACTCAATAATGTGTTAGGCAGACCGGCTGAATAATAAATGTAGGTAACATGAGCAGTAGAATATAAAATAGCAATGATTCCAAGTCTTTTGCTTGAGAGAACAAAAAACCACTTAATATGATCATGCATTATAAATATTAATTCTGGAGAGGGTCATTATACTTTGGCATGGGTTCCTAAAAACTCAACCTATCACCAAGTGCAATATCTACAGAATACAAAATAGAACAACATGCCAGTCCACGACTAGTTGGTTTCCCTACATACCGAGCTGATCGAAGCATACTGGAAAACTCTATCCTCAAATAACAACCCTTCATCGTTCTCAGCAATCACATCTTTAATGGCTCTAACAAGACCCTTCTCCCGCATTATCTCCTCCGGATCATCATTCACCTTCCCTGGTGGTTCTGCTGCTTCGCCACCCCAATCATGATCCCATGACGAAGAGCCCTCGCCAGATAATCCATCACCTCGGAGCCAATCTTCCCACGCTCGGCCCTCCTCATTTCTCGCATCCTCCTGTGCTTCACGGAGCTCGACAATCGCTTCAGCCCTGCTCTTCCAAGCCTCGAACCTTTCATCCTCCTTCCCTTCCTCTTCCCCGTGCTCATCACCTACCCCGTCGACGCCGAGCACGTCCTCAGCACTCCAACTGAACCAGCTCTCATCGTCGTTGTCCGAAAAGAACTTCTGCCACCAAGATCTCTTACTGGGATGCTCCTTGTCCTTACAATTTCTAACCAGCCGGAAACCGCTCCGTCGTCGTCGACTCCACCGAGGAATAAAAACGAACACGTGATGGGCAGGCACGCTACCGCGGGCGGAACTCTTCCGGAATCGCGCACCGCCGAAAGAGATGAGGTTCCAGCGGTAGACGCTCTTGGCAATGTTCATCAAGCATGGGAACGAGGCGCCACTGCATCATTCGCGCACATACTAGTCATCGCCGACAGTACCATCACAACCATTCCGGTAAAATCGAGGACCTACGAGACGAAAAAGAAGAGGAGGAGGCTGAATCCAAAGCCATTGGGGAAGGAATCGAGCGACCAAAATGGAGGAATCACGAGATGGAATCGATGATGCTCAGTGGATAACAAAAGATGGGACGGCTTCTAAACAACACAGCGAGTCGCCACCGCAGGGGCGAATTGTGGTGGGCGATGGAGCGCGTCGTGGATGGAGACCGAGCAGTCGCTTGCTCTCCGTCTTAACCTTCCAATTACTTGATGATGGGGGGACAACAGAACAAGAGGGAGGAGGAGGGGAGATAAGGAAAGCGGATCCTGTGCAGATTTCCCTACAAAGAAAATTTTAAAAGAGCTTCCAAAACCGCCCATCGTATCCCCCTCCTTTCATCTCAATCGTCCACATAATTTCAAATCAAACATACCGGTGGCTGTGATGGATGAACGAAGTTTCGTTATCCAGGCGCATAATTTTCTCTATGCAAGTGCGCTGGACAGGAAAGCCATAACGAGTTCATCCAAAACCGTCCATTCTACATCGTCTTTTAATCTCCACCGTCCATCTTTTTTATTTAAATTAATTTGATATATAATGAATGGCATTACAATCGAGTATATATATATATATATATATATGCCATTACAGTCGAGTATGGAATTAATATATATATGCCATGAAATGGTTTAGCAATTTACCTGTATCCTCGTCTCTACTGTGCTGAGGAAATTGGCTGGCACGGCTCCCTGTGAGGAATCTACAACAAGAATAATTTTTTCCTGATCCATCCACTGACAAATAAACTAATGAACAGAGATTAGAATCCAACCTTGATTAAGCTAAGATTTCTTTCTTGGATTAATGAATCAACGTATTGACAATTAAACTCTAGTATTTAACAAAGTAATTCTTTCACTGCAGATCTAATAATATGAAATCATATATCATCCTAATGGCAAATTCTGTCGAGTGTGCAGAACCTTTGGATCTATCAGTGTCTCAAAATTGGATCATAGAGTTATGTACACAACCATATAGCATGTAAGGGATACAGACAATATCTGATTCTGAAACACAACAGCTGGTTGGTTGCCGATGTTGCAAAAGAACACAAGCTTAGAGCATGGGAGAAGGCAAGAAAACTAGTTCAAGTCGGAGTAATGTTCTACATACAAAACTGTGCCGAGAACAAGGTTGAGGCATCAGGAACCTATGCATCATGTTCTTCAGCTCCAGCAAGCTTGATGAATGAATATTCAACCCTTTTATGAAGGGATCATTGATTTGGACTATAGCGAAGATGTTGCTCATAGAAACTGATTAGCTGTCACATTAAAAAGCTTGATTGAAACATTCAACCAAATGTCTGGAAAAATACACCAAGGAATGAACAGACTATATGCATCATACCAATAATGGGTTGGTAGCTTTTAGTTCTTTGTCATCCACGAATACTTCTTTTCCATCAGATCTATACAAGAACACGAAACAAGTGTTAGATAATTGACAATGGGAGTGCGAGTGTTGCCTGCTATTTTTAGCAATTACACCTGTAAACATTATTAGCAGATACATCAGGTTCAGTTCAATGAACCCAAAATTTCTGATTCCTTTAAGAAAGAGATCAAATAGAAACACCAAAATTTGTGTATTTAGTATGGATAAATGAAAAGTAATGATCCTGTAAATGACAATTAAAACATAAAGGAACTACAGAATTTCAATTTAGCATATAAAAGCTACCAACAGTCTGAAGCAATTTGATAATCTATTCTAGGATTAGTTCTTCTAACCTTTTCGCATTTGAATGTACAGGAAATACAAGCTATGACAAACAAACATGGAAAAGTTTAATGCATGCCACTACAACCAAGAATCAAACAGATCAGTCTATAAGAATAACTTATCTGCATAGTTAATGTTGGCTTAACCAGAAAAAGCAAGTTTCTGGATAGATCCAAACTGCCACAACTTGTTGGACCAAATTGACAATCTATCTCACAATTATTTCTTTCACATTGTCCACATTGGCAACTATAAAGTCCAGAATGATAATTGACATAGAAGCCAAAACACAAAGAATTTTTTTATGCATGCCATTATTATCAACAATCAACTAGGCTTCTCCCTATGGATCAAGGGGATGTTCGAATGAACAATATAAAACAAGTGAATAAGTAAACTAATCCCAAAATAAAAATACAAAAATAATATTTAATGTTTTGCGGTGGAGGCTCCATGAATTACCCTGTGAATCTGTGATAAAAGAATCTTTCTAATGATCTCGTTTGTAAACTAATCAAGCAATCTCCTCATTTCACTAAAGCATTCACGATTCACTATTTCTCAAGCATCATACTGCAGCATCAATTTTGGTGCTAGTCCAAGCTAATTGACATGCATCAAGCTAATACACTATCAGGTTGACTAAGAGCTTATGCAGATACATCAGTATCAACATGCATCATGCCAACACATTCTGAGATGCCTCCAGTGCCATAAACCATTGACTAGCAAAAAAAATCCTCCTATCAGTATAGTGTATCTTAACAAACTAAGACATCTTTTGTGATCTTATGCATCGAACTCATATCACTTCAAGGTAAAACCAAAAGTCATTCTGAAATTATTGAATTGCAGACACTAAAATTTAAAAAGTAAAGGGCGCATCTCATGTTAAAAAAAAATAGCAGCACAAGAAAACAAAGGCTCGGATATGATAAGATTAATGGTTGATCAGACCTAAACCATGGAGACAAGGGAATCTTAGACAGCTGCAGTACGATCTCAGCTTGAAGAAAACACCAATACCAAAGAATATATAAACAGAATCAGATCTTAGAAGAGGAAAGAATTTATTATTGTCCAAGATAGGTAAATATAGGGATAATTGAACGAACAAAACAGTACAGAAGAGAAAATAGATGCTAGTTAACGGGGTTTGTCACGCTTCTAGGCACGGATAAAGATGTATTGTGAGAAGAACAGTAGCGGCATATACGGCTACGATTTGGCCTGTGCCAAACAACACAGTGATGTCGCATGACAGAAAGGTATTGGCTCGCCCATGCCTAAATTATTTAATTCTTGCTAATTGAGTTTTATATTTAATTAAGGAGAGAAATAAAGAGTAACAGATAAACAAAAGGGATGTGAGAGATACCAAGCCACCTAGCTACAAAAAGTTTACAAATTATCATGATAAAAGTTGCACAAACAAACTTCTGATCATACATAATCATTGTTCAGGTAAAAGAGGACAACTGTTTTTAAATATATCAGGGAATTTCAACATAGATTAAAGGAAAGACAACCATTTATTTGCAAACCCTAACAACTCAAACACAGCCACTTTTATTCATAAGTTTGAGGTCTTTTAGACTCTTTATAAAGAATAAGAAATGTTGTGTGAGGATGTTATATCTTGAAAGCAGTTATTATAATCAGTCCTATAATGACTACAAAATCAAGATAAATATCATAAAAATAGAAAGTACAAATCAAACTCAATTTCTAAACTTAAATGTGGCATCAAGACTCACCAAAGTCCTAAAAGGAACTGATCCCAAGACACGAGAAATTTAATCCTCCTTCTATAAACGATTAGACACCAATGCTATTGATGCTGATATAATTATCACATTGCAAACTGCAAAATTACAAAAGGTTCACTGCAATATGTGTTTCAGTTAAACCTTCAAGAAAACGCCAAGACAGAAGCTTGTTATGTTCAAATTTCTTGGTAAAACTTTAGTAAATATCCAAAGTAATGGATCTAGATTCTAGATGAATAACTAATGCAACCACAGTGATGACTTCAAAAGAGGTAAAGTAGCCACTTCTACAGAATCTCACCTTAGAGCCTTGAACGTTATAGACACTTGCTGCACATTGTTTGTCACGGAAGCAAAGAAGCGAACTGGCACTAGGAGCTTTGTGATTGAAGGTGGCTTTCCAGTATCATCCAACTTATTCTTGTTGTCTAATTCAGAAACAACGTTTTTATTCCCTGATTTCTCACCTTTGCCACCAGATCCAGTTTCCCTCCTCACAGATGCGTTCTGTTGCTCGTCCCAATGACCTGTTGCAGAACCTTGCTGGAACCTCTTCACACACCCAGATTTCCTCCTCTTTGCACCGGTTGCTACATTGCCCTGAGAAGCCTGAGTACTTTCAACCTTTGAGAACCCATCCATGGAACCGTCCTCCTGCCCCCCAGAAGGTTTCACAGAATCGTGCCCATTGGTCTCTATCTGATCTGCTGAATTAAGAAGCTCCGGGTTCTGTCCATCACCCCGTCTACTTCTAGAAGTGATCGCCTTGACCTTCTCTGTCCTTGTCTTCTTTTTCAAGTCTCCTACCTCCTCGTCCACAACCACTCTCTTTCCAACTTGCTCATGGGTTTTATCAGCATCTGCACACGCCACCGCCGTACCACTGGCACCATTCTGAGTCGGTAAGTTCTGATTCGGTGCCGTTTTTGATTCCTCGGTCTCGATGGAGCGCTTCTTGTGGGCCGCCATGCCATACGGACCGCCGGGCCTCCGCTTGCGTTTCCGCGACCTCGGCGACCTCGACCTGCCCGCCCATCGGAAGATCTCATGTTCGCCAAAAAAAGAAAGTAAAAGATGTACAACAAGAAGGAGAAGTCCTCCACAAAGAGCTATTTTTTTAAAGCGGCGACGGGGAAAGGCTGACCTCTCTTCGAATGCTTCGATGACATCGGCACAGGATTGAATGTTCTCGAAGGGCTCCCAGGTGTTGGCAGTCTCCGGCCATCCTCGCCTTCGGTCGAACAAGAAGAGGGCTGAGCAATCCATGCAAAAATCCCTAAAGGGTTACAAACGAGGGGGATTGGAGAGAGAGAGAGGTTCTTACCATTTGATAAGGTATTGGATTTGACCCTTGCGCACTCGCTTCTTCCTGATGCCTTCGATCTCGTAGAAACCTTCCTCCAGTCTCGGAACCTCGCCTCGTTCCTCCTCCTTCCCCAACCTCTCCCCTTCTTCTTCTCCTCCTCCTTTCTCCTCTTCTCCTCCGGCGTCGCCTCTGCGCTCCTCAACTCCGTCGCCTTCCTCCACCGCAGTTTCGGGCTTCTTCTTCCCGCTCTTCATAGGGTTGCGGATGATTTCCTTTCTTGACCTCCTCTCTCTCTCTCTCTCTCCTTCTGCGCGTTTGCGGAGGCGTCGTTTCGCTGTCGGGTGTCGTGAGTGCCGTTTGATGTCGGATGGAGATTAAATGCAGTATCATTGATATTTCAAACTCGGCTTAGTAATTTAGGCTGCTATATAAAAGCATACATATATACGGACTGACGCTACACAGTGAGATAACACGCGTGTGTCTTACGTGGTAGATCAAACGATCAAAGGCTCTTGTGTGGGTGTATCTCCTCATCCAACGGTCACCCTAACGCCGCCACGGCGCGTAAGACATTAGCATGAAGCCTGTGGAGTTTTCGCTCTCTCTCTCTCTCTCTCTCTCTCTCTCTTACAAGGGTTTCGGCCAGCCATGGCGGCGACTCCGACGTACGCTGGCGGAGACGACGACGAGGTCGACGTCGTCGCCTTCTTCTTGGAATACGAGATCCTCTCTGGCGTCTCGGGCCAGGCCTTCTTCTCTTCTTCTTCTTCCGATTTCTAGGGCTTTGAGGTCTGGAGGTCGTCGAAGAGGCCCCGGTTTCATTGGGCCCAATAGGTTGTTTCTTTTCCTTCTTCTCGGACGTCTTCCCGTTTCTCGCAGTTTTTAGGGTTATCTCTTTTCTGCTCCTTTCTTTACCTTTCGATATCAGATTTGGGTCATTTCCGAACATCTTGTTTGCAACATGAAAAGTTTGGATCTTTTCCTGACAAGTTTCGATGCTTCTATCGATTGATGTATCCTCTTAATCTACATTTTACAGAATCAATAGCATACATTCTGTAAGTGAAACAAACCTCAGAGTCAGATCTAATTACAAGAATACTAGGCCAACCTTTTCTATATTTTTCTTACATCTTAAGGTAATGCATACGAATAGGCCATGTCAGAGAACAAACACACAAATGAAGCAAAAATTCTTGTGACTGTGTGTATATCTAATTTCCTTCACATTAGAACTCTCCAGTCAAGCATGTACATGTATAAATACTCCTCGGTGTAAAATAAATTTAGAGATACATGTTTCCTTCTGTTCTCATACAATACGAATCATTTCAATGTTCTAACAAGATTGCCTCCAATTTTCTTCTTCTTGCCGCATGTGTCCTGTTGTTTTCATATGCACAGGTAAGTGTGTGCCAAGCCAGTATAATGTCGTTCATTGTTTTACCAACATTGCCTCTAATTTTCTTCTTCTTGCCGCATGCTTCAGCTTCTCCATGGCAACAAGCCCCACTTGCCTGACACGCTCTCTTGACAAACCAAACCTAGTGAAGAGATCTCGGCTGTTAGCAAGTAAGCATCGAGAACACATCTCATTACACATGCATGTTTGTGAATTGCTGCCATGCCAAATTCATGTATTGTGTCATCACCACTATCACACTTGTCTGATGAACAAATGATTTATGATGTTAAAATATGAAGAATAAACCACATCAACACCTTCCCCATCATTACAGGAACTTATTGTCAAGGGATATATACCAACTCATGATCAAATGTAGAAGACCATAGGTGACAGTTGAAATAGAGATAATACGCATGCAGACAAGCATCAAGAGAGTTAAACTAACACTATCATCCTAGAACCTTTTTTCATCCCCCCAGCAAGGGAACCAAAGAATCTTCCAATTTAGAGTTTAGAGACCTTTTCTTTTTTTCCCCCTTAAGAACTTATATATATCTCCCTAAACAGTTGACTTCTATACTTATCCCTCTGAATTCAAGTTTACTATATATTTGTATCCTTGCAAAACCTAAAAACTTGCCTTAGTTGAAAGTCCGTTTGATTTTTATAACGTCACTTAAAATTCATTATGATGATAAAAATATTAGTGTTATCTTAGCCATTTTTTAGGTTTGTATATCTTTTGCATCACACTGGCTAATGGCATCCACAGTCAGAAGTAGGGAAAAATACTTTATTTCCAAACTTTGCAAGGACACTCCATTTCTTAGTCTTGCATGACTAGTTTGGAGCATGAAAACACTTCCCTTACTTCTTAGGGGAGAACTTACAAAACACGTCTATGTGGTCTACTGACATGATAGTGCAAGAAAAAGGAGTGGACAGAAGTAGGAGTTTGGTTAGAGCTTTAAGTCCAAAATTTTTAAGATGTTACTAACTAGTATCGATTATTTGAAAACTTAACCGAAGCATGAGGTTTGAGCTCTTATGCACTGTTGCAATGACTAGCAAGGGACCTATAATTCTGAGACTGCAATTCCAGTAAAAATAAATACAATTTCTCCTATCAGTGGCACAGGCCAAAGAAAGCATGCTCAACATGCATTCTCTTCATTTAGAGAACATGCTCGTATCAGTGTCCAAATTGTAAGTTTAGAACAAGCAACAAAAACTAGATATTTATTTGACAGGAATATACTACTTACTTTTTGCCGATGTCTTCCCATGTATGACACTCATTGTCGATACCATGATAGAGGCTTATGATATCTCTCTCTCGGTTGCTGAGTGTCATGTATAAGAGCTTGTCGACCTCATCCTGACAAAAAGGATTAACATGTGAATACCATGATTGCATGAGGGAGATATATCATGAAATCTTGTTTAGTAATGAATTGCTTATTATAATGGAAGATGGGCAATGAATGGTAAAAGCAGATTCTTTCAAGTACCTTGAGAGACCATTCCTCAAAACCATGCCAGGGATTGTTTTCGAGGTTCCTATCTGCAATATACTGGAGGGAAAGAAATGGTGTTATGAAACAATGTGAATGGATAAAGATAATAGATATTGCATGTAGAGAAATCGAGAAGCAATACTTACACTGTGGAGAGTCTTGCCAGGAAGGCCATTCAGGGAGGGGAAGGCTTCTCTATCGATAGAAAGTACTATACTCGCAGCCTGCATCTCTAACCATTTAATGTGAGGAACAAACTAGCTACTCACAAGATCTGGATCAAACAGAAGAAGTGCATAAAATGGATGAAAACTAAACTTATACCTGTGTGGCATTCCTTACTTTCTTCTGTGACATGTTCAGGGACTCGGCAAGTTTCTGAAAAGGAGAGAAGTTAGTCCCTTGTAAAAGAATTCTACACAAAGGTAAACTCCACTTCTACACTGATGCCTTAATACTGTAGCAAGGTTTATGTAAATTGATTTCCCTACCAATAAGATTCCTGATCTGAATATAAAAATTGTTATGGATTTTAGTCTTGGGGGTTGAAGAGAGAGAGAGAGAGAGAGAGAGAGAGAGAGAGAGAGAGATCACTGTCATGCTCAAGACCATGAAGAAGAAAAGCTAGTTACGACCAGTGTTATTGAAGCTTGATAAATCAGAACAGCCAAAATGATGATGAAATGACAAAAGAACTGGAATAGCATGAAAGGTTATCTTGATTAATTTTGACCTAAAAAATGCCCAGAAACAAGATGTTGCAATAAAACAGGGCATGAAAGTAAAAAGGGAAAACCATTGAGCAGTATGATAAAGTTTAACTCACGTCAATTGATGGTGCAATTCCCTTCTCTTCCAGTCTGATCTTTGCATGCCTAATTGAACCGAGTCTTTCATGTAAATGAGCAGGCAGTCTTAAAGTCCTGGAGTTCTTGAACAATGTTCTTGTGACACCCTGGTAAGAAGAAAGATTTCTTCACTGAAGTCTGGAATCAAATTGATGTTCAACAATAGACTAAACAATTGGACCAAATAAGCATGTATAATAATGCTGAAATAGGATCTTCCATGATATAAGGCTCGGAGTTTGAAGGATACAGAAGAGTACATGTCTAAAATCTTATAAGGAGGAAGCACGATGTCATGAAGCAAAGCTTGAGCTATGAATTTATTGTTTGCCTTGTTATCATTTCTGCTCGTGTGTATACAAATTCAGCTGACCTCCATGATCATTCATGTGTTGAACTGTAAAATATTACAGCTAAACAACTCACCTGCCGTATCCACCAATACACATAAGTAGAAATTTTAAAGCCCTTGGAAGCATCAAACTTTTCTATCCCACGAAGAAGCCCAATCAAACCACCCTGCGACACAGGCAATTAGTTTGGCAGTAGAAAGACTTGTATGCCGGTGTGAAGACATGTAAATCCAGGACTACTGTAAAACCAGTAGAATGGAGGTTTACCTGGATAAGATCGGCCATTGCAGTCCCCATGTTATCATACTTTTGGGCAATAGACATCACCAGACGGACATTGCTCATCGCAAGCTTCTCCCTTGCCAGAGAACACTCGATCATTTTTGTGTGCAGTTCAGCACGCGACATCCTCAGTGAAGAAGCCAGTTGCTTGTCGGTTGGCTCATATCCCATTTTTTCCTTCAGCCTGAAACCAAAGTAGTTCAGTCATACAATAATCATATCCCATTTTTTCCTTCAGCCTGAAACCAAAGTAGTTCAGTCATACAATAATCGGAAGAGGAGGAAGCAACAGCAAGAAAATGACAATAACATGTGGTCTCATCTACATGATTTAGAAAGCCAAATTGAAGTTGATTGTCTTAGAAATGGTAAGCTGTGACCTTGTTGTAAAAGAGAGAACTTCAATTATATAGAACAGGTTTCTTAGAGAGAAAAGTTGTATTAGTTAGCAAGAGGAGGAACGAAGAAACAAAACTCGTTCCATAGATAGACTAAGGCTATGCAGCTGTTCGCTTGTTCAACCTCATCAAATGAATATGTTCTGTACTTATAAAAGAACAACCTCTCCTAAGCTCCAAATACAGGCTAAAGGCACACGAGTGGTTTAACTAGTGCTATTGAACATGAGCACAATGGTAATTGCACTAGATGAACAGATCATTGCTTCATTTCTTGTTTGATTAACTAAAATAAAGCTATAAACAATGATGTAATTTGCAAAGTTCTTAGTCTTTCTCGATGCTCAAACAAACATAAAATATGAGATGTTAATCAACAATTTTTCATGAGAAAAAACTACCTACTTTGACCCGACCTGTACTCCTCTATATATAAATGAATGGCTTCTACAGTTATAAAAGAACAATCTCTTTTAGGACATTATGTGCTAATAATGCTCCAAAAATAGGCAAAAAAGCACTCGGTGGAGCTCACAAGTTTAACAAGAACAACTATTGGACGAGCACAATGGCAATTGCACAAGATAGACAGGTCATTGGTAGATTTCTTGTTTGGTCAAGTAGAATAGAGCTAAAATGAGGATGTAATTTGCTGAGTTCTTCCTCAGTCCCTAATGTTCGAACAAACATAAAACATAAGATGGTAAATAACAACTTGAATGAGAAAGAATTACTTACCTTGACCTGTGTTCCTCTACACGCATACCAGCTCTTATTTTCTTCGACAGATTCACGACCTCCGCATGTGTAAGCAAGCTCTCACTGACGGTTCCTCTGACATAACCACTAGCATCGGAGTTAAGCAGCTCAGGGCTAACACAAGATCGAAGCTGTCTCACTCTGCTTGCAGGTGCCATGGCATCCCTATGACCAATACATTTCCTTCTGGAAATCATTCTCCTCTCACGAGCAGATATCCCGGAGCGAGCGATTTCGGGCACCCGGCAGCCGTTTCCAGGAGCAGCAACAGTTGTCATCTGCGTGAACGGGAGTTCCCATTGCTTCTCCAACATAGACTTCTGTAGCAAGATGAGGGCCTCCAGAGAGGATTCGAGATCAGTAGGTGAAGGGGCCAAGGTATGGACATGCTCTTTCAGTGCCTTGATGATCGGTACGTGTCTGGTCGGTGGGGCATTCGGCCTGAATGGGGAGGGCTTTTGTGCAACTACGACGGACTTCGTGGAGGCCGTTGGAAATGGCAGCGTAGTTTGATCCAGAATGGGGAATAACTTCTCGGCGAGGTCGGTGGGACAGAATGAAGAGGTCAGAAGCCTCTTTCCCGTGCTTAATCCAACGACTGCTGATGTTGCCATCATCCAGCTTGAACTGCAGATTGATCACAGAAACATCAAGAACGAGCCGTTTTCCACGCAATTACCAACACGTACGACCTAAAAGGGCGGAAGAGAGCAGACGGATGGAACGATCCGCACGAAATACCAAATCCAATCGGCATCCGATCTCTATAGGAGAGGGGGATTGAGAAGGAAGAGGACGCACCAGAGCGTGGCGATCGCGGAGACGAGCGGTGAGAACTGAGCGAGAGGGGAGAAGCTGCTGCCGACGTGGTGGTTACTCCGTCTCTCTTCCTCCGGTGTAATGTGTGTGCGTGAGCAAGGCAGGAGATATGGGAGGGAGAGGCGCCATTGGTTGCAGGAGATATTTGGCGCGCGGCTCGTGGTTCTTGTGGCTCCATGTGGGCGCCAACCCGACGACCCCAAGCCAAAGCTAATGCTTACGCCGTCGCTCTTGATTGAGCTCGAATCCGGTTTGGTTCGATCAAGATAGATCTAATTCGAGTCCAATCTGCACTCCAGCAGAGTCCTGATCTAATTGGATCCATCTGAAACCCAAACAGCATGTTATGTTGTATACGTAGTATAGTCAATTATGTGCTACAACTTTGATACTTCTGCTTCTGACAAAGTACTACTACATGCAAAACCTACACGCGTAATACGGAGCTTACTCTTTTACTATTCACAATCACTTTATTATTTTATATATTTTTTAAAAATTAATAAAATAATATTTATTATTCATAATCCTTTTAAAGTTCGATAATTTATGTTTAAGCCTCCATAATCTATTTTTATTCAGAAGCATTCTGTGGAGGATATATCAAGAAGAATTTACTCAAATATCTAGAAAGAATCATGAAGAATATACCAAAAGGAATATACTAAAATTTGAAAAAGAATCATGATCATAAATAAACTAAACCAATTTATTCTACCAAATTGAACTTTAAAAATCTCTAAAATTATCATGAATTGAGTAACTAATAGAATAACTATTTTTATCATGTTTTAATTACTCGTGAGAGTTTGAGATGAGTTGATAAATTTTCTAGTGTTATACTTATAAATGAGATGTATTACACTCAATTGTAGAATTAAGATGAAAAAAAAACCGAAGTTGGAATATAAAAGCCTCTAAATCAACAAAAACTAGAAAAACTAATAAAATCACTACCTTATATTATATTTTTATCTATCGTAAACGGTTTAAGAAGAGTGAACAAGCATTATCGTATTTTTTAGATGATTTTATAAAAAAAAATTAAATCAAACTTGAGTATATTCACTTTCAAAACTTATATAAACTATATATTAGTGAACAAAAAATATCGCAGCTGGTTAGTTAGCACGGTTTAGTCTGCGAGTTGACGTCGGGAATCTCTGGTTGAATGAGTAGGATGATGAGGTGGCTATGCTTCTTCAGCGTCTCGGGCGAGGGTTGGACCGGCAGGGTCAGCTAAGTCCCCGCGAGTGGCTAGGGGTTGGCGCTCCAAGGGCTGTCGACTTGAATGTCATTTGTGGTGGGATATGTCCTTTCATCCTTGGAGTGGTTGGCAACCTTTCTTTGCGATGTGGGCGCGCTCTTGAGATGGGAGGCGCAAGCTGGTGCGCAGCTCGGGGGTGACCACCTCCCTGCAAAACGGTCTGGGTGCTTCTCGACTTTGACCCTTCCGACGAGCAAGTTAGTCCAGTTCACCCTCTTATCCCTTTTTTTAAGTTGATTATGTAATCGAACATAACATGATTCATTTAAGCATAAAGTTTATCAAACTTATCTTAATCTATTAATATAGCAAACAAATATTATATTAATAACATTAATAAATGACTCTGTTGTATTTTTTAGATGATTTTATAAAAAAAAAATTAAATCAAACTTGAGCATGTATATTCACTTTCAAAACTTATATAAACTATCAAAATATATTTATAGGACAAGGGAATATTTATTCGTTTACCATCTTAGGGCTACCCTAGCATAAATTATGAAAAGCATCCTATGGAGTGTTTTTTTCTATTATATTATCCATAATATTTAATATTTTTTACTTATTTATTTTAATTATTAATTAACCCTAAATAATAGAGATTTAATTATTCTTAATTAACTCTCAACAGGATTTGAAGAGAAATTGAACCACATACAATCATCATCATCAAATCTGGAATTGGTGCAGGAAAAGAATAAGATAGAGGATGCTTGTAAGGCTTCATCTCTTACTATAAGTGTCACTTTCTTAACCCAAGTTAGATCACTTTGGTGCAAGGTGTGTCCTTTGGTCAGTGATGAGGTGACTGTTTTGCACCTGCCTAACGAGGATGGGGAACACTGAATGCAGCTTTTCAATAGCTTATATGTACGAGAGCCGTGTTGGCCCCTTTAACTTGGTCTAACCCGACCGGACCGAGCCGATCGAAGGTGGGAGTTGGGCACGTTAGAAGTCGGATCTAGATTGGACGATTGAGTTCGCCCAGCCGGACATGCTTCACGCCAGCAGTTCTGGCGGCACATCGGAACGCTCTCCCACGATTCAAAATTCAAAAAGACATGATCATGACTCGCGGCACGAATCACCATGTCCACCTACCATTAAATGGAGGTGAATGTGGAAGCCATCTTCCATCCCCGTCGTCTAGAGAGAGCGGGAGAGATGGCGTCGGTCGGCATGGGAGGCTTCTATCGCCAGAAGAAGAGAGGAGGAATCGCCAAGCCCACCCTCAAGCGGAGTAGCACCGGCAAGTCCGCCGCCATCGCCTTGTCCTTCACCGATCCGGACCAAAGCCCCGTCCTCGGTACCCTATCTTCCACCCCCAATTTCTTGTACTATGCATTACATTCATCGCCGATCTCGTCCACTTACGACCCGATGGTAGGGGCTATTGCGGAGCACGGGAAGACAGCGTCGGCGGTGGCATTCGAGGAGGAGAGGCTGCGGCAGTTCGATCTGGACATGAGGTATGGCCCCTGCCTGGGACTCAGCCGGATGGAGCGGTGGGACCGGGCGGCCGCCATGGGGCTGAACCCGCCGGGTGATGTGGAAGCCATCCTTCTGAAGTCGTCCGCCGCCGCTGCCGATTGCCACTGGGAGGGACGAATCTAATAATTAACGAGCAAGTAAAAGAGAAAAACCCTCTTTCAAGAAGAGAAGCATGTTGTGAAGAACAAGTTTGGTACCCCTTGTGGTGATACAGCCACTGGCTGTACTTCCTGTAGCTATCTTTCAAATGCAATGAAGACTATGAATGGAAGTGAAGACTATATTTATGCAGATTTCTTTGTTAGATGAATGCAATTGGTTTGATCTAAGTAAATGCTTTACTACTTACTCTGATCAGCACCTGCTTGTAACGAAACTTAATGGTGGATTTGAATGCATGCAGATATCACAAAAACTGAAACAAGAAGAGAAAACTCAGGAGATACAGTAAGCTGCAATCTCTAAGCAAAATACCAATTACCAACAGAGATCTTCCACCCTCAAAGAACCTGACGTAGCACAAGCAAAACTTTCTCGTCAATGGGCCGAGCTCTGGTCGAGAATTGACGCCCCCGTGTTTGACCCGCCCAAATCACCACGTCGTGTCCGATACTTTCTCATCTCTCTTCGGCACACCCGTGAATCGTACCGTATTTTTATGGGATAACTACGATGGGCCCCGCAATGTTGTGAATCGTCAACCAATCGCGATAAAACACGTTGTTGGAGAAGGGTAAACGAAGTTTTTTCTTTGTGATGTTCTAGATTTCTTCGACCTTTAACGGCACAGAAACGCTCCACGCCGCCCGCCAACGACCCGAGTGATTTCTTCGACTTCTTTTTCTTCGTTTTTCCTGCCGTTGGTGCGTTTATGACCCTACTTTTAGTCCCCGATCTCATTCGAGGTGGATTGCCTGCTGTTTGGAGATCGAAGTTTGGCGGAGGATGGAGAGGGAGCGGAAGGTGAATCCGGGCTGCATCAACGCCTCCAATCCCTTCCATGTGTGTGGGGAGTACTGCGTTCGACGATCTCACGGATCGAATCCCCGAAGTCCCTTACTCGACTTAGGTTTTTTTCTTGAGTGTCATCATCGCTTTTCTTTTTTCCTTCAGATTAATCAGCAACGACAACAAAATCGCAAGTCACAACTATTTGGGGTCGGCTGTCTGCAGATTATTCATGCTCTTAAATTTTCTTCTTCGTAGCTGGCGCAGCAGCTCAAGTTGGGTATAGACGTAAGGAGGATCGAGGGAATATAGCGGCGGAAAGAAACGTGGCTCTTTCTTGCCCGAACGCGTCCAATCCATACCATCAGTGTGGGGGGTACTGCTCTTCAAGAAACCCCACCGTGAACGGACAAAAGAAGGAGAAGAGATCAGGTCTGCTTCTTTTTCGGATTTCTTATTTCCACTGAAATAAGAAAACTAGGTGCTCTGTTGCTGTTCGATTTCTGATTTCTGTGAAAAATGGAGGATTGAGTACAACCAAAAAAAAGAAAGAAATACAACTGTTCCTTACTTTTGACTTATTTATTGTGTTATGACATTCTTGTCTTTTGGGCCTATTGCAGCTCAAACTGGGGGGATTCATAAAGAGAATCAAGGGTTTGCAATTGTTGAAAAAAATGTCAATCCTTCATGCCTGAATTCAAGCAATCCATACCATCGGTGTGCTGAGTATTGCTCTCCAAGAAAATCTTAGGAGGTGAAAAGTCAAAACAAGGAGAAGAGATCAGGTCTACTTCTTTTGACATTACCAAATTTTGTGATTCCAAAATTTTGGAAGAAATTTAGGTGCTTCATTGACTCTCATGCTTCCTTATCAACTAGGATTGATGTGTTGGGAATTTAGGATTTTGCTCAATTTGTCGATTTATTTCAGTTATTTTGTCTGATTTCATGTACGAGAAGCTTGACTTCATCTAACTATCACTGTTTGTTTTCTTATTTCAGTGGAAAATGGTGTGAAGATGCAGGATAACAGGATGGTCCAAAGAGAACAAATCCACCCTAATTGCGTAAATGCATCCAATCCGTACCATAAATGTGTTGAATACTGCTTTCAGAAAATAAGTCAATTGTCATAGCTAGTGAAGGAAGAGATATTATGTTCACTTCCTTTTGTTTTCTTTTCTTAGATTCTATCTTCTGAAAAATTTGTTAGTTTTATGAACCTTTTATTTTGTTGTCAATGTTTGCCTTATGTCCTTGTATTAACTCGCTTGCCTAATATATGTACAAGATAAGCAACTTCTCCTTAAATTTCAACTGCAGATGACTGAAAATATCCATGTGGACTATCAAGAAAATTGATATTAAGTTGAGGTTCATTTTCCCAGAAAATATATCTTTCTGGAGAAACTGACTTGTAACATGAAAACATGGAAAAGCACATCTAAGGTCTTCCTTCTTGTTTCTCACATTGGTGCCCTTGACAAAGGGAGGAGTAAAGGATATGAAAAATATTTGATAGATATGACGAAGCTGTTGTCAAACTTTTGTGCCTTATGTTACTGTTATTCTTGAAAAATATTTGATAGATGTGAACATAATCTAGGATATGAGATTCTTGCATGAATTTTTGACATAGTTCAAATGGAAAGATGCAAACTCGAAAATAATATTGCATTGGGTTCCGATAAACTCCAACAGTTTCCATCACTAGGTATAAGCTTTTTAGGCATACTCATTTGATCTGCCATTTAAACCCGACTTGACTGTATGGAGAGGAAATTTGATATGGACATGGAAAAGATTGTCAAGTGTGATCAAGTAGTTGACTGGGGAATAACTTCTCTGTGCCAAAGGCAAAAAGGTTCAGAAATATCTCCATGAAGACAAGATCTAAATGCCCACAAATGCATGATGATTGGGTTTGAGCAGCAAGTGATCGATATGGCATGATAAAGTGCTATATATAAGCAACAACAATGATACAATCATCGATGAGAATATTTGCTGAATGGTGTTCTTGCATCCTGCATCATCAGTTGGATAAACAAAGTGTATTTTAACATTGGTCATGTATTCTAACTTCTGTAAGTTTGTTGTTGCTGACACTGAAAGTGCAGTTTAGGTGAAAATAATATATGGTTAATCTTATAAATGAAAAGTAGTTTTGCCAGTGTATGCAGGTTGAAGTGGCACCAAGTTTGTTCCTTTCATCTAACTTCTTGAAGTTAAGAATTTTCTTTCCTTTGTATTTGTTAGATGCATATTTTGTGTCTTTCATGTCTATGCATGGATGTGTACATGTATGTGCTTGTGTTTGAACCTTTAGGACAATCTTGTTTGTATTTAGATACTTGGGTTCACAAAGGACCGACAAGTGGTGCATAATTACTTAGTTGCACCCTTCATATAAAGAGGCTGTCTACTCTATTCTTCCAATAGACTCACCACTAGAGGTGCTTTGTACATGGTGTGTATAATGTCTGATTGAATACTGCAATTTCCATGTCACTTAATTCTGTGTATAGAAATTTATTAGGCAAGTCATACTTTTGCAACCTGCATTTTGTCCCCAAAATGATAATATAGAGAAACCTGTGTTGGAAAACCTTACATATTTTTTATGATTTTAAATGAATTTATGACGATCATTGTTTATAGTGCATATTGCTATCATCGAATTGTTGTCTTGTAGATCTAGTCTATAAAATAACTCCAGGTGGTATATCAAGTATTCTGATTATACACTTGATCATTTAGAAGGCTCAATTTTTCATAATGTTCCACCAAGTTTGTACTGGGTATGTGATATATGCATGTATGATATCATTATTTCCCTCGCTGCTGCTCTCTCTTCTGTGGCTGTTTGACTGGAAGTCTGTGATGTGCAACCTTTGCTAATGAGCTACCTTTGCCATCTCTTCTTGCATGTAGAGAAGTGCTATGTATGCATACTTCAGCTTACAGTTTAGTGACAAACTTATCCTTGGTTCAGAATAAAACATTACTGTTCCCAAATCTTCTTTGGGTGCTCTCACGAATAACCACAAACATTTCCTGCACAGTTCATTATATACTGCATGAATGTGTTTTGCCGGTCAATGAAATTACAATGCTTCAGATAGATGTATTCCTTTACTCAATGGCGTGCTTGGAATGTCGAATTGCATGGGATGCGTTACTTTTAAATCTTTTCTGAGATTTGAACTGACATATTTTTCGTTTTGTTATGGGCAGAATAAGTTTCAAAAATAGGATTTTCCACCTTGTTTTTATATATATTTTTTAATATAAATATCGATCTGTTGATTTGTACTTCAACGCCATCAGCGTTTCATACAAAGCTTAGGAGGATATGTGACGAGAAAAATGCCAGCAGGTCATATTCAGTGGAGATGTTATATTGTATCAGAATTATATATCTATGTGTATTCTGGTCCATTCAAAGTCGTGTGGGACACATGTGAAGAACAAAGCAGCGGGGTTTTAACATCAAGATGTTCGGTAGAAGAAGCAGCAGATGCTTATGGGACATGTGTGCAGTGGAAGATTAATGCCGTTTGCCATTACTTTATTGTCAGTGACGCTAAAAGCACTCCTTTGTCTTCATGCTCCCGACCCCGCCGATGCTCATTCGCATTGCACGTGCTTGACTGGTCAACCCTTTCTTTTTCCCGAAAATGTGGGAAAAAATTAAAATGAAAGAAGGGAGAATAATAACCAGAGCCGATGGATGCGGTACGGCTCATGGATTGAACGGTCCGGAGGACCCGCTCGAGCTTAGCCTGGGCAGCACGTGCACCGCGAGCGCCCGCTTCCCCTCCGGCGGTTCCACCACCCATATCCGCGCCGGCGCCATGGCCACGTCGACTACCACCATCGCGCGCCCATCGCCGCACACCACGCACGCCCGCCCACCTCCCACCGCCATCTGCGCCGCCCCCTTCAGCAGCTCCGACTCCGCCACCGTCGTCCAGCTGTCGGCGTACCAGTCGTAGGCCTTGAGGGCGCCGCTCCGCTCGTCCACCACGTAGATGCAGCCGCCGCCCTCATCGTCATCATCTGCTGCCGAGGCCGCGGGACCGGTCCACCCGGCCAGCATCCCGGGGGGCATCTCCTCCCACCGGTCCGCCCGGATGTCGTACACCGTCCCCTGCTTCGCCGCCCGCCCCCTCACGTTCACCATGCACAGCTTCCCCCGCGACGCCACCGCCTCAACCGCCTCCCGGCTGAACCGCCCGTCCGGGAGCGGCGCCACCCGCTCCCACCCTGCGATTTCGCCGGCCTCCGGGTCCCACCGTTCGGCGGAGCGGGCGACGTCGGTGTTGTAGTCGGTGCCGACTCCGGAGACGAGGTACACCGCCCCGTCGGCGGCCCCGGCGGCGCACCATCGGCGCGGGGCGTGGAGGGGCGGGCCGAGGCGCCAGCGGCGAGAGGCCGGGTGGAAGACGAGGGGCCGGGGGAGGGCGGGGACGAGGCGGTGGGTCGTGGCCGCGAGGACGACGAGGTGGCCGGCGACGGCCACGGACTGGACCGAGAGGCTGCGGGCAATGAAGGAAGGGTGCTGGAGGAGGAGCAGGCGCAGCGGCGGGTGCGGCGGCGGCGCAGGAAGCGGTGCCCATCGCGCGGCGATGGGATCGAAGCTGTGGAACGAGACCGGGTCGCCGCCGGCGTCATCGGAGGGAGACAGGAGGGCGAAGATGGAGAGGAAGGGAGGGAAGGAAGGGGAGTATAGCAGGCGGCGCCAGGAGCGGCAGACGGAGAAGAGGAGCGGAGCAGGGAGATGGGCGATGCAGTGCTGAGCGAGGTGGTCAGGCAGTCCCGGCAACAGCGGCTGCGAATCCTCCTCCTCCTCTGTCTCTTCTCCTTCCCCCTGCCGTCGCCCAGCCGAAATGGAGGAGAGGCAAAGCCTCGGACGCTTGGTGGCTACGTCGTCGGTCATAAAGGAGAAGAAGGTGTTTGCAGTGGAAATGGGGAAAGGAAGAGGTGGGGGTGCGGGGCTGCGTCGCGCCCCTCTGACTCTGTCACCGTTATGCAGGCATGCGATATAATGGCTGCTGTCTGCTGGCTGCCACAAGGTGATGGTCCTCCATGCTATGTCAAAGGCTATCATGCATTCACTCATCGAGTTAATTACATATTATTTTTATAATTAATTATTTTAATATTTCTAATTTTATACTTATATATATATATATATATATATATATATATATATATATATATATATGTTGGGGAACTAAAAGTGAATAATTTAATATGCTACGAATATTTGTGGGTGTGACTATTAATATTAAAGATGTGTGGAGAATTAGAAATTATCAATAAAAACTTAATTGCTCTTTAATCAAATAATATTATTTCTTGTGTATGTTAATGGCCACAAAAAGAAAGAAAAAAAAAACTCTCTAAAGAGCTGCAGGCGGGAAGAGAGTCTTCCTGCTGGACACGGACTTGCTCTTGCGGAGAAGCAAGCAGCATCGGCGGCGGCGACGCCGAGTTCAGACATTTCCCATGGCTGGGAATCAGTCACAGGTTAAGCCGCCTCCCACGCACGAAACGTTGCTTGCACCCATAGAACAAGAAAAAGGGCATACACAAAGGCGTAAGGAGTCAGAAGGCAGCTTCTTGGTGGTGGTGTTATCGTTCGTGGCCTTTCACCATCCATCCACTGGCCCTTTCACGTCCGGCCTCGTCTCCTCCACCTTAAAAGAGCCACCTTTGGCATTTATTGTGTGATGGGTTGTGGCGTCACAGCATCATTCCACAAAAGCTACTTTTGGCATTTATTGGGGAGGGGGCAGAGGAGGTGAGTCCCCCTTGGACAAAGTCTCATCACATGGGGGACTATTAAAGAGGAAAGAGATAATTTTAATATTAAAATAAAATATTCAATGATCGATCATCAAAAATATATATATAATTAATATGATATAATAGTTTCTTCTAACATCTTAAAATTTTAAAATTTTCATGAGATCAATTATAATATCTCAAATTATCCTCAGTTAAATATGACTTTCTCTTATCATATAAATTTTAAAAAATTTATATATATTTCTTTTATCCTCTCTAAAAATATAAAGCATCATCTCTACACATCCTAAAGTGAAATCAAAAAATACCAAGAGTATAGTATTATTCACATCTTATTTTTCTCTCATTAAAACTTAATATAAAGAAATCGAATCTTACTTTTCTCTCGTTAAAACTCACTGATATATGTATGAGATATTTATAAATTATTAAATTTTTTTCTTTAATAAGAACTCCTTCTTATATTAAGATTATTTATTCCATTAAAACATTGGCTTCAAAAATCCTAAATTACTTTGTCACGGTTCCAACCGTATGCTAATAATACTATAATGTCTCAATCATTTTGAGCAAGTTATATGAATATTTTTAGGAATTTTTTTTCGATAAATATATTTACTTTTCAAATTATGTTAGTTTTTACTTTGAAAATTATGAAACAATACTCCTAGTCAAGTGAAAAAAAATTATTTTATTCTATTCACTAGACTCGTCGTCACCCGTAGCCTCCGAGGATCACCTCTATTACTGACCCTATCAACCCAATCAATATACACTTGACATGTGACTCTCACGTGAGACAATATGATGAAGGTATATACCCCCCTCTCCCTCCTCCCTCTTTCTCTACAATCAATCGCTCTCTCTCTTTTTTCTTCTACGATCAACTGAAACGAGGATCCGAGAACAATGATTAAACTAAAGTACTTTTTGAATAAATATAAAAATGATGTATCCTCTCCAAACACAAAGAAATATTGAAAATAACAATAAACTTCGTATACTAATGCTTTGTTTTCATTATGTAAAAGATTATATCCTTAAGTTAAGTCTATAGTTTTAGTATTTTTTTTAAAATCTATATCTCATCATATCATTAATATATTTTTTTATTAACTTTTTAAAAATATACAAGCAAGAAATTTTAAGAGTATGGATCTGACTAAATATAAGACTCAAGATTGAAATTAAAATGGGATCCTATTTTCTTAGTTGTATTAGTCAACATATGATTAGTAGTTCATATATATATATATATCATGGCGATGTAAGCAAAAGGTACGACAGCAGAGCTAAGTTATTGGAGTCTGGAGACGAGCACACCGCCCCATGAAATGCGCCGGCCATGTAGTTGATATTTTAATGAGCGAAGGAGTGGTAGATCCAATGGCGGACAATGACGCTTCCTTTTGGCATTTAAAGACCAAAAGCCGGTGACCTCTCCCCATCCTCCTCTATTTTAATCTCTTTTGGTCCCATTCTCTTTCTCCTCAGTCTCATGTTTCTTCCTCCTTCATCATATACTTTCTTTATCGATGCAAATGTGTACATGATATGAGACATGATTTATGTTTGTGAGTGAGAGATGGATCAAACCCCAATAATATATGTCTCGTAAATATGTGGTATGCATAAATCCTAATATTTTTTATTAAATCTAAATGTTCAAATTCGATTTGTCTTAGGAATGTGATATAATCCAAAGAACATGAAATATTCCATTGGTTGTTGTATTTTGAATGATTAGCATCTTCATCCATGTTTAATTATTGTTTTCTAAAGTAAAAAAAGAAGAAGAAGACGATAAGTTTGGGAAATGTTTCTCATATTTCCTCAAAAGGCATGGTTTAAGGTTGATATGAGTTTGCATGACAATCTCATCGATATGCAAACTCATACCAACCACTTCTACATATCAACGAGTTTTCGAAAGGTATTAATGTAAATTAGTGTTTTATTTTTAGGTCCGAAACCGTTTTTGGAATCCTTAATTAAAAGCAAATCATTAGAAGAACCAAGTTATTTGAATAACAAATAATTCGAGTACGCAAATGAATTCTATAAAATTAAGATTTATTGCTACTTGAATATTTTATAAATTTCAAGGTTTAAGTTAGGGTAATATAAAAGAAAACAATACTTTGAATTCCTAGAAAATTTATGTTTTTGTAATAAGCATAAAGAGGTTGTGGGAAAATTCCTTAGAACTTACGTGGAAGGGTACAAGAAGGTTTTTTTTTTTGTTTAATTTAGGTTTGAATTAACTTAAAATAGTTATCTTTATTTCTTATGATTTATTGTTTATGTGTAGGTAGGAAGTGTGGAATGTTACAAATATTGTCCTCACTATTTGGATTTGCATTTTGTTGTTGATTATATTATTCTTATGTTGTTATTAGAGGCAAATGGAAAACACAATAATAATAATAATAATAATAATAATAATAATAATAATAATAATAATAATAATAATAATAATAATAATAATAATAATAATAATAATATACTTGAGTTGAATGAGATATGTGCTTGGGGAAGAGGCTATGGAGCCCAATTTTAAGCACATCCATTGGGCCATAGGATTCAAATGATCCAACACACCCAATTGTCAGCATATTGATATTGAATTTTTTTATTAGTTTTGGTGATTCCCATAAGAAATAAAATTATTATTCAAAATTTTAATACTATAATTGAAATCAAATATTATATATTTGAGATAAAATGTGTATATCTTTTGAACATGATGATAAAAATGATAATTCAGATATTCCGAAGCAATGTACAGTGATATGTTATGAATAAAGAAAAAGAAATTAGACTCATTTATCTTCTCTTTCATGATTAAAGATAATAAGAGATGAGAGAAGATCTATAATATTTTAATAACTAACTCAAGTGATTAAAAAAAATAATAAAAATTTTATAATATCTGAATAATATCACACATTCATATATCTATTATGAGTCACTATGAGATCTTATTCTTAAAGACGAGAGCAGAGTTTCTAAAATAACTAATTAAGAAAATATCCCGCAATAAATAATTTGTTAACAAATCCTAACATAATTAAACTTTCTTTGTTTTGATGAATAATCATAATAAGAATATAATTAGGTATATAATATTTAACCTAATTAACTAGGATAATATAATCTAACAATTCTCTTATTGCTTAACTTAATTTCTATTACTCTTGCATAAAAATCATTATTGAGTCTTCCAATAAACAATGAGAAATAATGCTCTCATACTTCCACCATCCATCATTCTCTCTCTCTCTCTCTCTCTCTCTCTCTCTCTCTTCAGTAGAGCCAGCTGAAGCACCTGCATCCAATCTTTTTAGAACTTTATACTACTCCATATTTGTTGGTGTTTCGAGTGACTGCAATTCATCACACATCACATCTTCTTCAAGTTTGGTGAATTCTTTTAAATGTTCTGATGAACAAATCAAGCATGTTTTCACATTCATCTGCCATGAATGCATGTTGATGATGGAGATGAAATCTTCATTTGGCTATTGAGATAAATGGCATCAGGTGACTACTTTAGTGTCATACTTACCACCAACCACGAACTTCATTACAAATATATTTCTCGTGTTCCATATGATGAGATAGACAGACACCTATTTCCATATGCACATACATATAGATCTTTAGTCACCATCTTGTCGTTTATGGGTACAGCACATGAGACTACACCGTTTCACCTACCGGCGTGGATCTTAAAGATGCTGATCGATGACACGCACGAATCTCAAAGTGCAATTACTTCCATAGGTGCTCCGAAATCTCATTGCCATTCATGAATTAAAATTTAAAGAAATAAAACATAATTCTAAACTTGTATAAGTATCAAAGAATATAAAATATAACGTTTTATATACATATATATATATATAATATAATAATATGATTATCAGTATATAAAATAAAACATACATCAAAATAATAATATAAATAACAGAATTGCTACTATAAATTTTAATTGTAACTTATATAAGTCCCTATATAAATAAATATTAGGATCCTCCACATATATGTCATGCATGCACTGAGTATTTAGGGTCCATGAGAGAGAGTACACATATTTTTCCCTATTATAAGGTTGTTTACCCAAAGATGGCACTCATGTCTAACAATAGTACAACTCAAATGCTTTTGTGGTCACCTCACCTCCTCCCCTTCCCACAATTCCTCGCTCTCCATGTCACAATTGATGCACACTTAAATGCTTCGTTTCTTCTCCCAAATCAATAATGCCGATAAGAGGAACAATTATGTAGTACGAGAAGGCGAGCTACACATGACAAAGCCAACGCCACCGGTGAAGACACTACACGGTGGTCGCTTCTTCGGACAGCAACGTGACGCCAGGTTATTCCCAACACATACAGATAGATCTACACGGCAGATGGCGTCCGGCGACGTAAGGGCCGCAGGCAAAAGGACAAACACCAGCAAACGACAGCGGTTTCTACGTGGTAATGCAGCAGCCGGTAGCCAAACTACAGCTCGACTGGCTGCTGCTGCTTCTCGTCGTTGAGCTCCTCCAGCTCCTTCAGCCACAGGTCGCCGAACTCGCAGTCCCTGTAGGCCTCGAACCATGGCCCGCCCGACGTGTAGTGTATCGCCTTGGGCTGCGTCTTGGGGTCCGTCGGATCGACCCGGTTGTGCCCCACCAAGAAGTTCCAGCCCACCGGCAGCTCCCCGACGTCGTCGTCATCTAGCCACATGAAGCGGTGGAGGAAGGCCCCCGACTCGGCGCTGACCAGCTCCGGCGTGAGCGCCCGGTTCTTGGGGTGGGCGCAGTTGTAGAGGACCATGGAGGACCAGTTCTTGCGGGGGTACACCGTCTGCGGCACGCCGTCCATCTTCACGCCCTCCTTGGGTGCGTAGTCGTGGTGGACGCACATGACGGCGTAGCGGTCGTCGGCCATGGCGGACAGCTCCGCGACGTCGGCGGTGAAGAGGAAGTCGCAGTCGACGAACATCGCCCAGCCCTGGTACCCCGCCAGGAAGGGCGTGAGGAAGCGGGTGAAGGAGAACTCGGTGCTCTCGGTGGCGCCGCGCCCGCGGGTGTAGAGGCCGGCGGCCCTCAGCTCGGCCTGCTTGAGGGGGACGACCTCGAGCGGGACGGAGGAGCGCCGGAGGAGGGAGTGACGGCACACCTGGAAGGCGGCGTCCTCACGGGAGTCGTACCCGACGAAGATTCTGAAAGCGGCCAACCCCGGCGGCTTGCCGTTCGTCTCGGCGGCTCCATTTGCGTGCCCAATGGCCATGGAGATGCGATCGAGGAAGGTGGGGGTGGAGGAGGGATGAAGGTAAGGTGTTTGATGAAAGGCGAGGAGTGGAGTTGGGTGAGTATATAAAAGGGCAGGATAACAGTGCCTCATGCGTGCAGTGTGTCGGTGCCGCACAGTGACAGTGACACGATAAAAGCATTGATGGGTGCAGGCGTCTCCACGAATTTGGATCTCAATAAATATAATGAATGTGTAACTCCTCCACCAACACAGTCTAATAATACGCATCCGAGATTTCAAACCGTAGCGATGATGATGGCATCGAAGCTTCTTTTTATCTCTCTTTGATCGGTGGTGAATTCAATTCTTCGACGGTGATCTGTAGAAATATTAACATAACAAAGTATGTCTGTCTTCAAGCATCTTAACTCTGGTTAGGTTAAGTTGAATTACATTCTAACGAGTAAGTGGTTTGAACTAATGAATAGATCCTTTCAATCTTTAGATGAAGAAAGAGGTTAGAAAAAAATTACTCGGACCAAATCCTTGCATATTTGATGTCGATGTTGCGTGGATTGCCTCCGAGACCATCGTGTCACGTCACCGTACCACGTGGAAACAAAGGAGTCATCGATGAAGGAGATGAAAAGCATACCACAGGAAATAAGTGGTCGATCGGACCGCAAACCAATTGGAGGGCCGAGCAATAAAGCCAGTTCCTTTCATCCATCCGCATCGCCGGCCTCTTCGACGTGCAATAACGAGCGGACAAGAAGAGTGTTGTCTGGCCAAGACAACGAGAAACTCGTGTGCCATGCGAAGCATCTACTTGTTGTCGAGTAGAAGCATGGTGTCACGACGATGAAGTCATGACGAGATAATATTTTTGATGAAAATAATGGAAGATAAGAATAATTATTTAAAAAATTTTATTGAAGAAGAATAGAGAGATTTTCTCATATAGTGGGGAAATGTTATCTTCTATATATCGCGGTGAGAAAGATGAGAATTTGCTGTGGAGCCTCTTAGGAATTTGGCTGTAGCGACATTGGTCGCTGGCCAAAGGCAAGGGCGAAGCTTTGCTTTTCTCAGCGGCATTAGTCGCTGACCGAAGGCAAGAGCGAAGCTTCACTTTTCTCAGCGGCGTTTGGTCGCTGGTCGAAAGCAAGAGCGAAGCTTCGCTTTTCTCACTACTCTAATACCATGATGAAAATAATAGAAAATAAGAACAATTATTTAAGAAGCTTTATTGAATAAGTGAAAAAGGCTTAAATACATTAACATGTCCCTATCCTATTTATACAGATTAGGAGAAAACATTTTTCTTAACAGAATTGAGAGATTTCCTCGTATAGTTGAGAAAATCTTATCTTATATCAATTTCTTCTATCAACAAAATATAATGTATATGCATAAAGAAAAACTCAAATGATTAAGAATAATATATGAGTAATAAGATCTTCTAAGATCATGTTTCTTTAACATTATCATCGAAGATGATTAGGGTATTTACAAAGTAATTAACATGAATTCTTACCGCTCAATTTTTTTTTATCTTCTAAATAATTTGATTCTATATAAATAACGTACCAATTTTCTTTCAAACAAACTAAAACGGTTAAAATATAAATCATAAAATCATATGACAAAGTCTTGAGATGAAATATTCTTTTATATTTTGTGTGTGTATATTCTTTAAAATATTTAATTCATTCGTATAGGCTGCTTCTATTAGCATCCATCTAACAAACTCAAGTCAATCACTGTTAATTGTGACAAAAATATTATACATCAAATACCTTTTGATACTCTTACTGGAAAAGGTTAAACATGTAATGTTTGTTGAAAGGCATTTATTTCAGTTAAAGTTAGACATATATTTTTACTTCAAATATATATATAGAATGTTTGTTTGGTCTTAAGAAGCTGTTCCAACTTTTGGGCGGGCAACTGTTACATCAGACAACTTGCAGTGTCTCCCATACAGAAATGGGAATAGCGTAGGCTACCGAAGAAGCCCTTCGATAAGTGAAACCACTCAACAGAAATTACCAATATAATTTTTTTTTCTTCAGTCCATTTGATATAAGTTTTTGATTTTTCTGTCTAATTTTAATTGTAGATAGAAGATATATGCATTTCATATCTCCTTTTTTTTTTATAAAAGATCAAAGATATCATCAAAATAAATCAAAATTTATTCGACAACATCACTTTATATAGTATAATTCTTGTGATCATCGATTTTAAAAAAAATATTATATACATAATTTATCATTTATATAATAATATAATAATAAATTCGAATGTCACAGTGGAGAGAATATATGAAAGCCATTGATTGTCTTTGACTAACTTGTTTTTATGTTTGTAAGTATAATTATTATAATTTGATTGATATTTTACGAACGGTTATCGTTCGCGTCATATGATATATTTTATCCTCTATCTTGGATCATTTCACCATGACAACAATTAACTTTATATTTTAAAAATTATATATTATTCTCTATAATTAATTTCCTTTAGTATCTCAAATATTATATTTTTAAAAATTATATTAAGATATTTATACTTATAAAAATAAAATAATAAAATTCTAAAGTTAATTTAATAAGATTAAATATTTTTAAAAAAATTGTTGAAATGTTAAATATTTTATTTTAATAAATATAAAAATCTCAATATAATTTTTTAAAATATAAAAAAATTTATGTTTGTAAGTATAATTATTATAATTTTATTGATATTTTATGAACAGTTATTGTTCGCGTCAGATAATATATTTTATCCTCTATCTAGGATCATTTCACCATAACATTAATCATGAAAGTCGAAGCTATAGTAATTACATATTATTCTTTATAATTAATTTTCTTTAGTATCTCAAATATTATATTTTTAAAAATTATATTAGAATCTTTATACTGATAAAAATAAAATTTTAAAATTTTAAATTTAATTTTATAAGATTAATTTTTTTAAAAAAAATTGTTGGAATGTTAAACATTTTACTTTAATAAATATAAAAATCTCAATATAACTTTTAAAAATATAAAAATTATTAAAAGTGACGTAGATAATACGTAATTAACCCACTAAGCTTAACAGTCTGTCCTGATTCGCTCAAGTTGATGACGATCCATCTCCAGCGTCTGCTTTCCCATGTACGGCTTCTGCACTGTGTTTCCGTCCGTTCTTCTGCAGGACGAACCGTACAAGTCCACATCCACCAATTGCATACGAATATTCTTCTTCTTCGAGAAATGATTGTCTTAAAGAAGACATCAGATTCGCCTACGATCAATCAGTACAAAACTACGTATTTTTCTCGAAGAATGATCGTCTTCCGTATCATTCGACAAAACGATTCGATCTGCTCGAAAAGCAGAAGGGGATTCTCGAAATCAGCGGAGGAAATACGAAGTGGACGAGGATTCAATCAGCCAACGAAGCGCACACCAAATCGCTCAAGGTAGAACCGAGATGATGATTCTTGCGCTGCGAGCCGAACCACTAAACGAGAATTCAATGTCTTAGGTCAATAAAATCCATTCGAGAAGGATCGATAGGGATAAAGGACCACGAAGCACAACGATTTGATCTGATCTGATCGAGGCAGAAGAGGATTCGTGAAACCAGTAAAGGAAGATGAGGAGGATGAGACGACGACACCTTTCGAGGCCGGGGAGGAACGTCGCCGACTGGATCTTGTTGGCCGCTTCGCTTCCCGCTAGTGGAGTCTGCGACACGGAGGAGTCGAAGTGGGAAATGAGGGGAGAGTCGGCACACACATCTTATGTGGGCTAATATCTTCTGTCCATGATGGAGATGGGCCCATTTGGGCCTTCGCTTGGTGGGCCAAAGCGAATCCGTTGCGACTGCATCAAAACTCACGCAGCTGTTCCCTCCCCATCTCATTCTCGGTCTCATTCTAAACCACCGCGTACCGTCTTTCCGTTTCTCGTCTTCCTCCTCCTCCTCCTCGTCTCGGAGATCTCCTCGCCATGGCGACGAGGAACCGTACGCCCATCTACAGGAAGTACCGCGACGCCCTCCGCAACGTACGGGTCCCTTCCCCTTCCTCCCACTCCGGCCCGTCGACCTCCTACTCCGGGGGCGGACCGGTGATCGAGCTCGTGAGCGCCTCGCTTCACCGCCCCGATCGGTCCTACGCTCCTCTCAGCACGGAAGATCCCGGTGGTTCGAGGTCCGATCTCCTTCTCCCTTCTTCATTAGGTTCATCTGTTTCCATTATCTCTGATTAAGACTTAGGAATCACCTCTCTTCGTGTCGAAACCCTATTGCGTATATGCTGAATTTCTTAGTGTTGATTGGATTCATATTTCATTCAGAATTCCTATGGGAAGTACGTTCTTTTAACATCTATTGTCTTGTCGGGGCGATGTCGTCCTTGTTCTGGAGAGTGATTATCATCGAGGAGGAGCAATAATGTGTAGGGATCGGTGGTGGATCATTTAGTTTATTGCAATTGGCATCCTTATCATACTCAAAATGCGGACATGACGTTAATTTGTAGCTCAACTGATTGGAGCCTAGACCTAGGAACTATGACCGGAATTCTTGCAAGAAATGCATCCAAAAGAGATGAGAGTTTCTGTTCTGAAGATAAAAGACGTTTGGATGCCTAAGGTTTCCTGAGGAATGTGGTAGCATTCTTGTCTCAAAATTGCATCTCATGATGATCCTGACTGGTATACAAGGCCCTAAAACCATCCTGCAATATATCATGTATATACATAGTTTATTGTGGTGACTATAATTTAGTTAATGTAGCATTGGTGATATGTGTTCTGACAAGGGATATGAGCAGTAGTATCTTTTAATCAAACCAATATTTGTTGGTCATTGGTGAGGATGGATTTCCTAAGTTTGTTATTATGGATTTTAAACATAAACAAGTGCATAAACCATCTATAAACCTTTTCAGGTGTTGTTGAGGACTAGTGTTTCTTGCAGGAAGGAAATTATACATTTCATTAATACATAGGCATCCCGTATGAGCTTCTGAAATAGAATTAATTTAATTTTATCCCTTCATGTACAAGCCCATCCATGAATGCGTGGGTGACTCTAGCAACATATTGAAATCAGACTCTTAACTTACTAGTGCCTTCTTAGAATGTTCTTGTGTTTATCAGCATTTATGTTGAGTTTAGCATCTGGTGCATTAAATTTATGTAAATGGAGGAGAAATCATGCATCTTATAATTTCATAATTACAGTGCAGAGTAGAAATCATAAATTTATGAAATTCATAATCTCTTCTATAAGCACTCATTCATGTCAAAAATGTTATATAACAAAATTAGATTATATAGTCAACTATGTATCTGCTATTGTGTTAGAGTATTCTGTAATCCTTTATTTTCTTCTGCCGCATGCATTGTGCTTAAAGCTTGAAGTCGACATTATGACAAATTTGAATAAATGGGTGGCCTAACATGTTTGCACTCAGAAATTCTCATCTAGTCCATACTGATGTAATGCTTTTCTCTAAACTTTTGTTTGTGGGAATGATCACGTTTATAGTTTATTCTTTGCTTTCTAATATTAGATAATCCCTTTCAAGATTTAGGCTACTGCCTATATGAAATGAACTATTTGGAGTTTCTTGAGAGTCAAGCAAAATCATGTATATGCCATTCCTTTCCATTACTTTGCCAGTCTTCTACTTTTTACCTTGACAAACTTGTAGAATTGTTGCTGTAAAGCTGAAATTGATGCAATTATATTTGGCAATGTTCAGTCAACAATTCTGGTGATATTCAAAATGCCTTGAACCAATTAAACTTTTTGTTAGCTCATTGCAGTACAGGTGCAACTATGGTTGGTTTACCTCCAGCTTGGGTGGATGTTTCTGAAGAAATAGCTGCAAACATGCAATGTGCTCGGACAAAAATGTCAGAGTTAGTTAAGGCCCATGCAAAATCCTTAATGCCTTCCTTTGGAGATGGTAAGGAGGATCAACATGTCATTGAGCTTCTTACTCATGAAATAACTGATCTATTGAAGAGATCAGAAAAGAGACTGCAGAAACTTTCTTCTGGTGACCCTACTGAAGATTCAAATGTCCGGAAAAATGTTCAGGTGTGATGTTGTTCTCTGTTATATTTCTTTTTGTGATTATTGACAACCTCTGCCAATCGTCCTTTGCAAGCTCATATGCACACTATTGTAGAATCAAAATTCTGATTCCATAGTGCTACTTTGTTTACATGGTCACATTTAATTGACTGTAAACCATTTAGATTGAGGGACGAGAATCTCAACATCAAACTAATACCGAGGCACTTTGTTAACTGCGTTGCTGTTATAACAATGTCCCCTTGCTCCCTTTTTATTGGATACTTACATAGGACATTGGGTGTTGCTCGTGCAGCGGTCTCTTGCAACTGACCTCCAAAACCTTTCAATGGAGTTCCGAAAGAAACAGTCTTTTTATTTAAAGCGTCTTCGGCAGCAGCAGGAGGTACTCTGATCTCAGATCATGTTTATGCATGTCAATTGGTTTTTGTGGGGTTCTTAAGTGTAAGGAAGTGCTGATGCTATCTTTGATTTCTTAGGGGCAAGATGGTGTTGATTTGGAAATGAATCGCAATGGGATCAGACATGAGATGGAAGATGACTTTCATAATGTGGTACTTATTTCTCTTTTAATGATTTCATTTGGCAGTTTTATCAGGACCCCAGAATGGATTTGCCTATAGTGGAATGTGAACACTTATTTAGGTCAATTTCTTGTTGTCTTTTAGAAAAATTTCTCATAGCAACATGAAAAGAGGGGCTCTTTCTTTCTGTGTCTGATCATGAGATTGTTTCAGCTGATCTATCAACGCTTTTTGGTTTCTGTGCACTATTTATAGTTTTGGACCCTTTTTCCTGGTCTTTATTCCTTTTATACTTTCTATAGGGTTTTGATGAGGTTCAATTGTCTACACTAAAGAGAAGTGAGGCATTCACAAGAGAGAGGGAGAGGGAGATTGTACAGGTAATACTAACTTGGAATATTTAGTTTGTTAGTGGCCTTGATGCTCATGTGCTCTATTTATATATATATATATATATATATATATATCATGTTATGTACCCTTCTCATTAGCTGCATCATTGAAATTTCTTGTTCATAGGTTGTAGAATCAGTGAATGAGCTTGCTCAGATCATGAAGGATCTCTCAGTCCTTGTGATAGATCAGGTACACTTTTAACCATCAGAGAATTCTAGGTTTCTTACTGATGCCATGTGGATACTTTCTGATGCATGTGATGCAAGCAGGGAACCATAGTTGACCGGATCGATTACAATGTACAGAATGTTGCAAGTTCAGTAGAAGAGGGCCGTAAACAGTTAGAGAAGGTTCTGTCTTCCCTTCCTCTTTATTCCATTCATATTTCTGCAATTTTTATTATCTACACTCCTAAGTTATCTAGAATGTGCGAGTTAGTCATGCTACAGCTACCCGTCTTTTCCTGCTTGTAACTTTGTAAAACTAATCAAGCAATTTTTTGGATGGATGGCTGATAGCTAGATGAACAATATTCTTTTCGTTCATGTGGGTCGCTGAGACCATATAAATAACACCCTGGATGCACCATTTACATGTTCAAATTTGATATAGCTGGAACATTTCTGTGTTTGTGCTATTGTCCTTGGCTGATTGGTATTTTGGCCGACAGTAGTATGTTAGCTGGCAACATGGTCAAAACTTTCACTGACAGTATGAGCATGTGTTTTTGGCTGGCCCCAACTAGTTGGGGTTTTAATGCTGTACCTTTGTTGTACGCTTGGTTGGGTTGCCATTTTTATTGGCTTCATTCATCTGCACTTTTCAAGTTTTGATCTTATTCATGTCTTTACACCACCTTTTATAAATTGGCTAGCACTTGTAGAATACAGCCTTTTGGTTCCTAATAGAAAAAAAGATTTATGTTTTTCCCAAAGAAATAGTATATAGAACCATTAATCATGCACTTTATTATAATCATTTTAATACTTTAAACCTTCGCATAGGGGTACCATGTTTAAGAATTTGCAAGACAGGGATCTTTATTTGGTTGTAACATGCGGCTTTTCTTGATTAATTCATTGGATAGGTTCTTCATGCGAGCCCTTTAGATCGCTGTTTTGCTACCCTAAAGAATGACAATGATGTTAGAACTAGTTTATGCATGCTTAGTAAATCAATGATCTTGAAGTTCCACTTATATATATATCTGCATTGCTTTAAACTTGGAGAGATCTGACTCAGTGAATACAGGTTTGAACAATTTGAAGGCGAATGGTCATGCTCTACCGTACTGGATATCACTGGAACTCCATATGTAACCAACCTTTCGTCTAACTTTCTATTTGGTTTGTATATCTGCAGGCGGAGCGAACACAGAGGAAAGGTGGAATGGTCATGTGTGCTACCGTGCTCGTTATATTGTGTTTCATCATGCTTGTCCTCCTCGTCCTAAAAACCATACTATTCTAAATCAGTTTTCAGTCAACACACGGATTCAGATGGCATCTCTTGAGCACCAGCCTCCCCCTCGGAACACTTTTGGTCGTTTATGTCCAGAGGATCCTATAGGAGATTCTCATTCGACCGGTTTGTATCATGTCCATGAAGTGAATTAATTACGCTGGTTTTTGCTACATGATAGACGTAGGATTGGTTATAGTCCGAGGGAACAATTTTCTGAATAGTAGTACCTCTTGGGATATTCTATAGAGAGAAGGCTCAGGTTGGTGCTTCCTGTTAGCGTCTTGCTCCCAGTTCTGAGACCTTGAAGAAGAAAATTCTGTAAAGATTCATTCGAGTAATATTTTTTTCTCCAGAAGTTCTTAGTATGTTAATTATATTTTTTTTTTAATTTTTTCTGTAGAACCTGTTCCAGATGTTAATTATTACCAAGACAAAACAACAGAATAGTTTTAATTTAAGAGATATTAGTCCGATTTTAGTCGGTTCAAATCGATTAATCAAATCAGTCTAAAGATCAAATTTTAAAAACAACATGAGTTCAATTTTATAAATCTTTTGAACCCAATTAGACCAAGATTCTAATTCCATTGATTTGAATTGAATTAATTCATTTGAAAAAAAATATTTTAAAGTTATTTAAAATTATAAATCAATTAACTGATTAATTGGCGTTATTCGAAGTTTTTTTATTTTATTCGAAAAAATGATTCGATTCTACCTTTCGTTGGATTCCGAGATTGATAAGGAATAATTTGGTCGATCTGCCGCATGATTTTATCAGATATCATCATCAAAATTTAGCTCAATGAAAGGTAAACTATTAACTTGGCTACTTTTAGTTGGGTGGAAATCTTGATTGTTGATAGTTGGGATTCTACTTACCTTTGCACAAGCAAACAGAAACAAATATCTTAAGGAGATCAAGTGCAGCAAGATGTGGACTTTGGAACTCGTCACGTTTGCGTCGAGTGGTTGCAAAAGACAAGTTTAAGCTAGTGTACTGTATGATGTCTTCATTTCAAGCAATTAGATTGGGTATGCATGGGAGAAGCAGCATTATCAGTAGAAGATGATACATCCAATCAAACATGTTCTCTGCCTCCTCTTCCAGGTCGCCTAATGGTGAGTATGTTTTCCGAGTTGTGATTATTACTTCTTCCTAAATCTTATTGTCTACGCTTTGTTATAAATTTTCAGTTCTTGTTATAACATGGCATCTCTAATCCTCATCTCTGCAGATGATCGAAACAGAAGCACTTCAATCTGTGGAAGCTGCCTCTGAGTGGCTGTTGGATGTTCTTGCTTCTTGAGTGCCTGTCAAGTCTCAGTTCGTCATCGCCATGGTGGAGTATAACTTCCCAGCTATCATCTGCTGTTGTTATTTTCTTCCACTGAACCATACTTGGAAGCTGCATGCAAGAACTTTTTGTTGATCCAAATGTTTGAAACAAATGAAGTAGTTCTTTTGGTAATACCGTTCTCTCTTAATTGTCCTGAAAGCAGTACACTTGAGGTGGCTTTAGATCATGTTGAAAGCATGCCATTTCATTCCCAAGGATTTCTCAAAGAGAAGAAAAAGAAGTGTGGAGATGAGTATAGGAGATCATTAACTTGAAGATTTAAGTGGAGCCCTAAATCCTGACATGTGATGAACAAGTAGAGTTGGGTTTAAAGAACTTGACTTTAGCTTATTAAGCATGCCTTTCTCAATCTAATCTACCTTCCAATAAAAACAAAATTCAACAATAATTTATTTAAATTATTTGCATTGAATCCTTTTTCGCAAGAATTTGTCCACTTTCATTAGCGTTTTGTACAAACAATCAAGAGGTCAAGAATTAGGAAAGAAAATAGTAGGGATTTTCTGTTCATCATGATAAATTATTTAAATTATTATTTTGTCATGAAAAATATACTAATTATAAATTATCAAACATAATTAACAAAATCTCGATCCCTATATTTTTAAAATTTTAAATTATTATTTTGTCATGAAAAATAGATTAATTATAAATTATCAAATGTAATTAACTAAATCTCGATCCCTATATTTTTAAAATATTGAGATCAAAATATATATGAAAGTGAAACATTTAATCTCATTTTTCTTGACATTGACTCTATTAACGAAAATACTGCAAGATTTATCATTGAGTATGTGCTGGCTCTATCTCATTTTGATTTACCACCGGACACGTATAATATTTCACTTTCATAAGTATATAAATTTTAATATAATTTTTAAAAATATAAGAATTAAAATACTAAGGGTAACCAATTAGAAGGAATAATTTATAATTAGTCCTCAAAAATTTTATCTCATCCTTTTTGGTTTGGGGAAGATTGAATTATTTTTATACATTAACCGGCCTCTTTCTCCCCGGTCTAAGCTGGTCAAACCCAACCTGATCGAGATGGACCGGATTGGTTCATCGTGGGTTCGGTTTGAAATCGTTATCTCCACCATCGATCGACGTTGGCCGGTCTGAAGTAGTCATCAGGTTGGGATATTTTCCAGGCCGAACCAAATCCCAAAATTACAGGTCCGGCAGGTGAGATTCGATCGAACCCAACCCAAATTGCAGAGTTAATCACCGCTAATTTGAGCCCCAATACGAACATAGCTCAACACGCGTCTCCATCACTAATCCGACAATCCCGGCCGTCCAATTTAGGGTTCTCCGGATCTTCTCCCATTTCACCATAAAACCCTCGCGCGAGAGCGTCTCCACTTATCGCGTAGTTGCGACTCCTTGCGGCGGAGCCGAAGGCGAAACGGTAAGCCTCTCTCTAACAATCGCCGCTGACATCGAAATCTATCTGTGCTTTTCTTTTGGGTTGGGACGAATCATACTAAGAATTCAGACACTAGAAGTTAGATATGAGGCTGTTTTATGGCCCTATTTGTCTTATTGAGAGATTTGTTTACATATGCTTTGAAATTTCATTTGATCTAAGCGTTTAGATGCTGTTGAGTTAGGGTTAATTAGATCCGTCGTTCTTGTTTCTGTGTTGAATAGAGGTGTTGAGCCATGGTTAAGCATAACAATGTCGTGCCAAATGGGCATTTTAAGAAGCACTGGCAGAATTATGTGAAGACTTGGTTCAACCAGCCTGCGCGCAAGACAAGGAGACGTATTGGTGAGCATCTTTCCTTACTGTTAGTATCTTTCTTCTATTGCTGTAGGTAGATTTCGGTCCTTGAGATTGGAGGCATTCTCTTGAACTTCTTGTTCCTCGTTCTATCTTTATTACCCTCTATGTTGCTGGTAATGATGTCATCACTATTGCGAGTCAGCTCGGCAGAAGAAGGCTGTGAAGATTTTCCCACGTCCAACTGCTGGGCCACTCCGTCCCATTGTCCAATGTCAGACGCTCAAGTACAACATGAAATCTAGATCTGGCAGGGGTTTTACTCTCGAGGAACTGAAGGTAACAATTTTGGTTCTTTCTTTTCATGCGTTAATCCTATTTTTGGTTTTCTGTGTTGTGTGCCTATGTTTCTTGGTTGCTATTCATTTGACATATGTTTGTGTGGATAGTGGAGAGATGATACATCGGCTGTTATGGAACAGACTAGTTTGAGGCTTATAGAAGAGAATGCATGGAATAAGGATTAATTATAGATAAAGGCCTTAATTTTCAATTTTAGGAAGTCTTCAAAATTAATAGTTTATATAAAAGCCTTAATTTTCAAGATTATAAAGGGTTGATTAGTTTGAGCTTTTGGTCTGCAATTATCACTGCTATTTGCAAGAAATCTAGTAGTTACTATATGGTCATTAGTTCCTTTACATTTTTTTATAATCTTTACGTGAAGATTGATCTGGAAATGGTTAGTAGTGCTTTTGGCTACTTAGGATGTGTTTTGTGATTATTAGCAGGTCCATAGGGGCCAAAAACATATTTGGTTGATTGGATGAGAATAAAAGTATTGAAAATCTTATCAGGAGTGACATCAGAATATTATCATCGAACATGTTATGGTATCGAGAAATTGGTCTGTCACCTTGTTAAGATTCCTGTTAGCCATTGATCACAAGATTGCTGATAGGATCTTATTGATACCCATGATCTTTCCTATGAACAATAATGAATACACTGTTTGAAGGTCAATGTTCTTGAAAAAGCATGTGACTTAAGTCAAGGATCCCATCTCTCTAGTTTACGGTTATGATATACAGCAAGATGTTGATAGGTGCAAAACATTTTTGTGCGGAAATTTTCTTTTCATTCTCTGTTCTCCAATAAAGACATTTTTTAAAAAGCTTTTAGATGCTTTATGGAGCAAGTACGTTATGAGAGGTAATGGTTACTACCATTCTCTTAAATTTTCTTGTCAAATTTAAGATTCTTCATCTTCCTGTTAAGATAGTCTTGTTTTATTTATTTGTTGAGCGAGATTCTTGGGATAATTGGAAGGACCTTTTGATGCTATACCTTCGGCAATATTATATTTGATCAAACAGCATAAAACTTGCAAAGATTCTTTGTATGTGAAATTTACTCCAACTGGTACAGTTGTAAAGATTGTTTTTAAAAGAATTTTGTTTCTTAGTTATGTTTCTTCTAGAAGTAGTGAAAATAAATGAAAATTTTCTTGATTTGGTGGAGTCCTGTGGCTTGGGACTATGGATAAAAGATGAGCTTTACATTCATATAAAATCTGGTGCATCTTTTGAAACCTTCCGTCTCATGTTCATGCCAGCTTTGGCATGATCTGGGGCACTGAGTTGGCATGGAATTTAATTTCAATGTTTAAATTCATAATCTTGCTGCATGACAATCAGAATGTATTATTCCAGAAATTTTGCACCGTATAGTATTTATTCTTTCTGGATGTATATGTACATCTTGTCAAATAACTGTTGTTTGTTTTGCAAATGCAGGCAGCTGGAATTCCAAAGAAACTTGCTCCAACAATTGGCATTGCCGTTGATCATAGGCGAAAGAATCGATCTCTCGAGGGTCTGCAAGCCAATGTCCAAAGGTTGAAGACATACAAAGCCAAGCTCGTCATCTTCCCAAGGCGAACCCGCAAATTCAAGGCAAGCGCTGCAAACTCTGCCGAGACTGCTGGCTATGCTTAAGCTTCACTAGTTTAACAATCCCTCTTATTCCATTATTGTTCATGTTCTCAGGCTGGAGATTCTTCTCCGGAGGAACTTGCAACAGCCACTCAGGTCCAAGGCCCATACCTCCCCATCGTGCGCGAGCAGCCTTCGGTTGAGCTCGTCAAGGTTACGGATGAGATGAAATCATTCAAGGCGTATGCCAAGCTTCGTGTTGAGAGGATGAACGAACGGCAGGTCGGTGTGAGGATGAAGAAAGCAGCGGAGGCAGAAAAGGAAGAAAAGAAATAACTGATTGATATCATCATGTGTTTCGACTGCCTTCAACGTAGATTTTGAATCTTATTATTAGTTGCTGAGTTATTGTGATTTGGATGGAAAATTGAACTCCTTCTGGAACGGGTGCGACAGTAATCATAAGATTTGTGATTTAATTTGCAGCAAATGGGATGATTTATTATTGCCATTCTCGTTGGACCAAAAAATTGTCAATAGTATGTTGTAGTGCCATCAATTTTGAGGCGTGTTTTGGGTTAAAACACAAAAAAAAAAAGAAGGAAAGGTAAACAAAAAATGTTCGATCGAAATTTTATTTCCGAGTTTGAAAGATTAGTTATATACTTTACCCACTTAGTCCATGATTTTATTAGAGGCAAACCTCCTTCCATATATATCCCTACCATTCAGTAAATTTTCACATGCATAAATCTTTTAATTTACATTTTGCATAATTTAAAACAAATCTATCCCACCCTACTAATTAGTTAACTGTTATTTAACTATTAATTGAAATTTTAGTTGATATTAGTTATTTTTTAAAATTATTATTATTATTATTATTATTATTATATCAAGAATATAATACATTTATTATTATTATAGCTTATGTTTTCGATCATAGTCAGAACTAATCATGCATTTTATGTGCAAAATCTTATTACTTGGATAGACAGTTGCACTCAATTATAATATATAAAGGTAAATACGTTATTTTGAACTTGCAAGGATATATGTGTAAAATTACTTCGTTAAATCATTGCCCGAGGCAAACAGTGGCCTCAAAGGTCAGTCCGAGAGTGGGAGGAGAGAGAGAGAGAGCGAGAGTGAGAGAGAGAGAGGGAGTTCGCCGGATGGAGAAGAGGGTGATGATTTTCTGCGCAGCCGCGGGCTTTCTTGGCCTTCTCTCTGCTGCTCTCGCCTTCGCCGCAGAGGCCACAAGGATCAAGGTTTGCCATCCCCGTTGATACTCTCTTCTGTACCAGTCTTTTTCTCGTTATGAGCTCGGCGAGATCTTGATCACGGCATTGTTCCGCTCCTTGATGTTCTTGCTTACTGGCCTCTGCCTTTTCTTGGCTCTGTTGCTCTTCCTGCCTTCCGGGCCTGCAATTGGACGGTAGGGCTTTGATGATTTTTCTTCCCTCGGGTCCTCTCCGTCTGGGAAGGCGTGGCATTTGGTCCCGTGAGAAGGCTGTTTGTTGTCTTGGATCCAGCTCCAGCTATTTCCTCCACTCTCCTCTCTGTTGCAGTAGGGTTCAAAGACTGGATCTTGTTTATAGTTGGGCCTCTTCTTGGTACCGTTACTGTTTTCTTTAGTAAAGGTCTCATTTTTAGATTCGTGGTTGCCTACCCTTTCTTCGGGTGCCGAGGTGTGAGGTCGTTAGTATTTGTCCTCAGTAATTTGGTTTTATCTCTACCATTCGTAAGGCTATTTGCAGGTATAGCTTTCGTGTCAGGTGCAGATATCCCACAGATTGGTGATTGATTACACATGCGCACACAGATGTGTTATTTATGTCGCTTTTGCTATGTTCGAATGAGTGAGATCATTAAACATGTTTACTTCAAAGTTTCCATGCCTCAGAAGTGTAAGTTCTGAGTGTTCCTAAAATGTAGAATAACATCATTACCCTCTGATTTTATCTCACTGATTCTGTTATCATGTATCCTAACATCCTCTCCTTTGCCAAGAAAAGGGCTAACTAGAACTAAGCACAGGCTAACTTCATCTGGTTAACGTGTAATTACAGGATCAGCTCCGTAATCTACAGTTTGTTAATTTTTGAGAAAAAGTTTAACCAAATCATTCCCCTTGTGAAACCAAATCAACCATACTGAACTATATACTGTTTGGAACTGGATCATGATAGAGCTTATGATCTTCATTCATGTGTTCAACTACCAAAGCAATATAGCTTTGCTTATAGCATCTGTTGTCTTTGTGGAAACACGAACAATAACAATGGAGATTTGGCTGTAACCAGTGTTTATAAAACTATATAAAGTTGTAGGCACACACACACACACACATTTAAAGTTCTGGGCATGTTGACCATTTTCAGACCCCGTATTGGTGGTAAAAGATCCATATAATTAACCCCGAATGATTGGGACTTTATGAACTTGTTGTTATCTATTGATAGGAGTCTTATGCACTGGGTTCCCCCCTTCAGAGTTACAACTTTTGTGTCATAAACACAAAACATGAACAACTATTTTCCATATTTTCGAAACTGATCCTTTTCGTTTAGTCCAAATTTAATAAAACAACCTTTTTCCTGGTTTTGTTTGATGATATGAATTTGATAGTGGATACTGCTCTTACTAACTCTCAATCTTTCTTAACTAATCTCGATTTTCTAATGAATTTAAATAATCATGTATCAAGCTATGTTCTCGTCAATACTCACCATATATTGTTTTCTAAATCAGTGATGAAAACGATCAGCAGGAGCCTATTGTTTGCTTTTGAAAATTTTGCAGTTGCTGAAATGGATAATATTTTGCTGTCATTGTCAGGCTTATCAAACTTTTAAGGCCTTGTATCTCAGGCTTCCATCTATGTCAAAAACTGATCATGATTTGTAGCGTCATCTTTTTCATGTTTCAACAAAAAATAATCTAGTATTTCATGCTAATATTTCATTAATTGTAGAATTCCAATTTACTACATTTTTGGAGTACCGCATCTTTGTGCTCTATATCCCTACTTCAGGTAAGATATGTGCCTTCACTGATGATATATGTGGAGATTCCAATTCTTTTTACTTTCTATGGTTTAGAGTTTAGACTAATTGTTGACATTGGTCGAGTATCTATTTCCTAGCAATTTTAAAGCATGATGTGCCTTATCCGGATTAACTTAGCTCTCTTGAATTTATTCGGCTTAGTTTTGTAATATGACTAGGTATAATGGCATCTAAATAATTGGTTATTTTTTTATGTTAATCATCAATATTATGTGTTGGATTCCAAAGCTGGTGTGTTAATGGCATTGTTGCCATTTTAATAAAATAGTTTTTTCCTATGGCCTCTGGTTTTCAGGTTTCTGATGTGGAAACAACAACGCTAGGTGAATGCAGATACCCAAGGAGCCCAGCATTAGCTCTTGGTCTTATAGCAGCAGTGGCTCTTATCATAGCTCAGGCCATCATAAACACTGTAGCTGGGTGTATATGTTGCAAGAAGTATCCAAATCCATCAGACACAAACTGGACAATAGGGTTGATCTCTTTTATTGCTTCTTGGTGAGTTTCTGACCTTTAAGTTGATTTAAAAGTTGATTTTGCCTTGGTGCATTTATCCATATGGCATAGAATTGTCAAGCCTTTGGTAAATTAGTTTCTTACTCATAATAAATATTGACATTGCTTTTTCATGATACTGTAGAATGAGACAAACTATCTTCTTCAAGCTATATGTTATTCATGTAAATAGTGTACTATAAGTTAATGTGGCTATGAATGTTAGTATTTCTGATACAAAGAGACAGATTAAATAGAAGTTCACCACTGCGAAGAGAATCGCAATACATGCCAGTTAATTTCTTTAATTACCTATGATAACTTGCATTTGTCAGAAAAAGAAAAAAAAAGAAAAAAAATGCATTTGTAAGCATTCTGAGATGCTGAGTTTTCTTATAGAAGGGCTGAATGTTTTAACAATTGATACAAAAATAGGTGAAGTATTTTAGGCTGTATGTTAAATGAAGTAAATCTAACTACATAATTTCCATTAAGTATGGAAATCTTAAAGATGCCATCAACACTGTCAGATAAATCATATCTAAGGGGAAAGATTTGACCCAATATTTTCATTGCAGAGAGACTGGATAGCAATAAACCACAGGAAGATATGTTCTTAGTTTGAAGTGTGGTTCTGTAAAAATAGATCCTGATGCCCCAATATCTATCATCTTAAGAGCGAGGGCAATCACAAGTGATGGAAGATAAACAGTCTGATGCTCCACAAACATGATTTTGTGTGGTTATGGTCTAAAGAACTTAAATATCAAATAGCTAGTAGAGATAAAATAGAAACCACACATCAAGTTAGTGATGCTTACATGGGCTAAACAGTGATTGCAAAGAATTTCTATCTAGACTTTCAGAATACTTCTAAACTATCACCCTTGTTCCTAGTTTCTCTTGCAGAGCTTCCTTTTCTTGTCCTTTTGTACTGTGAACAGCTTCATGCTTACTTAAGGCAAACTTCAAACTTACGTAGCCTTTGGCACCCACTGAAGCAGCCCTGGAACATTCTTCACTTTGGATGTCAATATCATGAGTCTGGACCACTTGTTATATGGAAAAACAATAAACCATATCAAATATGAAACTTCCTTTTCAGTAATTGACTTTTGTTTGTGATACACTTTCTAGCCTTCATTATAGGGTGCATTGTTTTGTTGAGTTAGAGTTGACTTGACTTCTCCATGTTTTTCTCTCTCTATAGAAGGATGAAGAAAAGGCGGCAAGTCATACTTCATCACATCACTTTTAAGGTTAGTTTCTCATAGCGGCCAGACATGATGCCAAGGGCTAGAATTAGGAGCTCTGGAGTTTGTGGCAGAAAATTATTAATCGTTGGATTTGAACTGTTGTTCTTGAAGGGAGAAAGGAAAAAAATAACTGTTGGTTGCATCAAGGTTATGGAAATTACATGTAGCATATAGAGTACTACAATTGGCTTGTGCTTGTGCTTAGAACCAAATATGGTTGGTTTCTCAATGAAGTTTTTGAAAAAATCAAGAATGTCGTGTCGAGGATTTCATGATAACCCTCACTAGACAATGGTGGCATCCTGCAGAATCACCTTTCCATACTTTTGCTGGTTGGCTTAGGTAAATGTGGATGATTCACAGATGTGGAACTTGAAATGCAGCAAATATCTTTCTAGTTAGTGTATCCAACGAAGCAAAGTAGGTACAGGGATGATACCCTAAAAAATGTGCCTGGTGGGTTTGTAGCATCATGAGCAGAAGATTATTATGGCAAAGGAACCATTAATATGGAATTGATATTTGAGGCTAGGAGCACAGAAAGCTTCTATTAGGAATTGTAGCAAATTATGGAGAGGATTTCATTAAACGTATCGAATACTCATTTGTTACACTAGGAAATTGAGTTGTTTTAGCAAATGGACCCAAATGGTGATTCTATCAATGGCAGAAATAATGCACCAAATTCAGGGTTAAACAGAGAACAATAGATCCACAAAAACAAGGGTCACGTCACGATTGCAGTGCTCCGTGTGCAAATTGCATGTTATAGAAGAGCTCAACCATCTTAATTTATTCTCAAGTTCATAAATTAGCCTTCTTCCTGGGAGTAAAAATATCAGTTTCTTCATGCTTTTAACCACTGATCTTTTACTACTAAGTTTTCTGTATTAGTTGATGTCTTTGTTCTTCTTTTCTTAATTCATGCAGGGTTACTTTTATAATAGCCTTTGTTCTGTTGTTGAGTGGTGCTGCCCTAAACGACCGATGGGGACAGGAAAGGATGTATTTTGGCGAATTCTGCTACGTTGTCAAGTCTGGAGTATTTTCAGGAGGGGCAGTACTATCTCTTGCAAGTGTTGCTCTTGGGATTGTTTATTACATCTCATCGGTGTCATTAAAGAATGTGCAGCCCTGCAATTCGTCACAAAATCAAGACATTGCACTGGGTCATCCTCATACTACACCTCAAAGTCGGACGACCCCAGTATTTGTGCATGAGGATACTTATAATCGACAACAATTCCCCTGACGATGATACTTGGTCTGCCCAACAATTTTCCATTTCCTTTCTGTTCTTGAGCTCTTGCCTTCCGACATGGGGATTGCCACTCAAATCCCCATTACATGCAATTAGCTGGACCTTGGATCATTGTCACGAGAGGCTTCCACATGAGGTGCTTCCATCACTCGTTGGTCGTGCATTCGAGGACAGCACTCAACTGCAGAATTTAGGATCGAATGGTAGCTTGTCGGTGGTAGATGAACAGCATTCAATTGCCAGTTAGCTGAGTGTCGTTACGATATTTTGCAGGCATTGGTGAAGTGTCATTCTGACTGTTGTTGTGTTACAATGTGAGCATCAACATGTACTGATGGACTCATCACAATTTATGTAATATGCTGTTTGATCATGCCAGGCTTGTGAAATGAAAACAAGGTGGGATGTGGGGTACAGTTTGTGTAAGAAGAGTCTTCCAAGGGGGTGTAGGTTTTGCACTGAGGGCATTGAATCGCCATGTGTGGTTGTTGTGCCATTGCTTGAGGGTTGCATGTGGTTGGTTGGTTCATTTACTGAACCCAATTGATTGCTTGAGGAATCTCCTCAGTTTGTACTCTCTTGCAGTAATAATTATTCCTGCAAACTTGAGTTCTATCCAAGAAATTGGACATAAAAATTGAATCTTTAGCATTTGGATTTGTATTAATGGAAGTCGATAATTCGAAAATAAAATATTTTTCCCCTCATTATTATGCACTTATCTAAGTAAGAAATCATGATTGAATGAATTTACTATTCCCCATATTTTAGCTTGATTAGAAATCCAACCCATATCTGTCTCTCTCCTTTAAAACTCTCTCACATTTTGTGCATATTAGATGCACTAGAAGACCAATGTGATGAGGGATACCAGAAAACCTAAAAGAATATTACTAAAAATAATAATATTTTAATTTAATTCTTCTTGATTAACTAACAATTATTATATTATAAATTCATTTTTTTTGTAACTATATATTTATCATATACAGTATTTATTTTTACATAGGGTATATATTTTTATATTTTGTAACTATATATATTTTTGTAACTAATATAAATTATTATATTATTATATGGGGTTTTGGATAAAGATCCAATTACATCCAACAACATATACATGGAAAGGCATACCCAACCCAACAATTTAATTGCCACATAGTAAGAATAGCAATAAGAAAAAATAAATAATATATATATATATATATATTATTTTTATCTTTGCATGAAAAAGGAATTTGCCTTATTAATATGTGGAAGAGCTCCATTTTGGAGCTCCAAGAACGGACAAGCGGAGACCGCAGGAAATAAATAACTATAATACCAGCAATGCCAATTAAAGTAAGATTGGAAGCTATAGATGTACGCAGTCCTGCCCTCGCCGCGTGGGTCCTGTTTGCCCCTTTCCCCTCGCCTTCCTCCCCTTCGATTTCCCACGGCGTCGCCCGGAATCTGTCGCAGTTTGCTAAGTCGAGCTCTCCGGATTTGATTCCGACCCAAAGGTTTGATCTTTCGCTCCCTCCAATCTTCCTCCCTGGTTTTCCCCTTTGTTTTGAGGGCGATTCGGTTTATGTCTTGGGGTCAGTTGGGCGAAAACTTCACGCCGATGTCATTTGTTTTGGTATGCGAAGTCGATTTTTTGTTTGTCTTGTTCTTGGAGACTTTGATTAGGCGAAAATTTGATGTGTCGGTTCGATTCGGGTTGTTGTCGTAGATTTAGGGAGACATGCCTTATTGCTTCTTGTAGCACTAACCTTCCTGTGCGTGGATGTATTATGGCCTATCCTTTCTGCTCTATTATCGGAAGGATTAATTAGATTGTCTAATTGTATAGATTGTCTGGCCTCTGATTCTTTCCTTTTCGGACTTCACTTTTTGAGTTTGCGATAATTTCTTCATATATTGCTATGACTTCTAAAAAGTTTCTATCCCTTGAGACTATTTAGTTACTATTTTTCATGATGGATTGGTCACTGTGAGCAATACATGGCAAGTTTGACATTCTCTCGTAATCTTGAGGTACTTTTTAGTGTGCTTGTTGTGTGTGTGACAGAACAAATTCTCAGATAAATGGTCCAAATTAGTTAAGATTTTATTGTCTCATCGCAGGCATATAGTCCAAGTAGAGAACTTGCTCTTTGGGCCACATTGCTAATTACGGGTTGCAGTGAGAAGTTGGACTAGAAACAGGTTTCTGTGGCTTCTAAAAGCAGTGTGTCTATGGACATCCCTGAATCCCAATGGACAGAAGATGAATTCTGCGCTGTGGGTACCGAAACAGATCGCATCCCGTCATGCAAGTCTTCTGCCTCTTCTGGTGTTAAGGCGGGCATATCCTCCGGCAGTAGCGTGCATGAACTTCTTGAGTGCCCAGTTTGCACAAATTCTATGTTCCCTCCCATACACCAGGTGCTTTCTCTTTGGCTTCTTTTCTCTGTGCTGTCTTATGAATGATTGCCTTATGACCAAAAAACCAGGACATACGGTGTTATATTTGTGTGAGCTCACCGCGCTGTCCTTGCATTTGCATGAATTTTCAATTTGTTTAATAGGAACTAAACCATCTGTCTGTTGTAAGAATAAATCTTTTCTGTTCTGATACTGCAATTGGACTTTATCTTTCTTTTCATTGACTAGCACTTGCAGAATACGATTGATGGCGATAGGTAGAGGCAAGAAAAGAGGAGTAATTTTCCGAATCACAAATGCTGCTGTATAGCATTGTTGCATCACCAAAGCATGTAATTATGTTGTTCCTATGACAACTGTTAGCTGTTATGTTGTTCTTACTAGTTGATGAATTTTCTTGCTTGGTGCATGAGCTGTCAGCAGAAAGTTATATAATCGGTCCATAACTGTAATAAACTTAATTGAGATTGTAGGACGCACATCAAAATATATGTTATCTAGATTTCTACATCCTGTAATTCCTGAAATTTTTTCCTTTTGTGGTTTTGGGTGTGTTTTGGGCGGGTGGGGGTGGGGGTGGGGGTGGGGGTGGGGGTGGATGAGAGATGGAGTGACAGAAACATGAGCAGCTATGCAGAATAACTAGAGCTGCCATGCAAATATCAAAATCTGGGTTAATCAAAGATATATCCATATTATCCGAAATTGAAATTTGAGCAGCTATGCAGGTTCAGGCCCTAGAATTGTTCAGCAAGTTGAGAATGCCTGGTTCCTGATGACATTCTGATGCCTGTTTACCATCCAAAAAATGACACACAAACTTGAATAGCAGGCTCGATGGTCATCGTGACTTGTTGATAGACAGATCCTTTCTCATTCTTAATATAGACTGTGCATCACCATCATAAATGCAATGAGATCATACACAACCTTGGTAGGTGATTGGCGTTATAGTTCTCTACTTCGTAGCATAGTATATCCGATCTCAGTCTTATCCTGTATGTAAGGTCATGCATTTGTCTGTTTCTCTTATTGCTACTTCAAGCCGTGTGGTCATTTGCTGGTGTGGGCTTTAAATCTTCTGTTGTTCACCCTTGCAGTGTCCAAATGGTCACACTCTTTGTTCAAGCTGCAAACAGAGAGTACACAATCATTGCCCTACTTGTCGCCAAGAATTGGGAAATATCAGATGCTTGGCTCTTGAGAAGGTTGCAGAATCGCTGGAGCTACCGTGCAAATATCAACACCTGGGTTGCTCAGAAATACATCCATATTATAGCAAATTGAAACACGAGCAGCTATGCAGGTTCAGGCCCTACAATTGTCCCTATGCCGGTTCAGAATGCCTGGTCACTGGTGACATTCCGATGCTTGTTACCCATCTGAAAAATGATCACAAAGTGGACATGCATGATGGGTGCACATTTAACCATAGATATGTCAAACCAAATCCTCACGAGGTCGAAAATGCAACATGGATGCTGACCGTAAGCCTTCCCTTTTTTCAGAACATATGTTCTTGATGTCTCCATCTCCTAATATTGTTGCTTAAATAGCTTCAGATCGATGACATGAAATCCTAACGAGCACCAACATCTTGGAATGAGTCCTATCGATGCTAGTATTTATATGTTTACTCTTTCATAATTTTGTGGATTCAAAAACCAAAACATATTACTAGTTATGTAATGCGGCAGGTTTCTTGTCATATACACTAAAACATATAGTTTATTTTTAAAAAAAATTAACTGATGTCTAGCAAGTGCTTTAATTAAATATTGTGCATATGTTATTTTACAAAGCTAAGCTCAAGTCTTCCTTCTAATGGGCCTGATCCATTTTAGTCACCTATTTCTTACACTTGCATATATAAATTGCAGGTTTTCAGTTGTTATGGGCATTATTTTTGTCTTCATTTTGAGGCCTTTCTCTTGGGAATGGCTCCAGTTTACATGGCATTCCTAAGATTTCTCGGCGAAGACAGCGAGGCAAGGAACTTCAGCTACAGCCTTGAGGTGGGTGGCAATGGCCGAAAACTTATATGGCAAGGAGTGCCGAGGAGCATAAGAGACAATCACAGGAAGGTCCGAGATAGCTACGATGGGTTGATCATCCACCGGAACATGGCCCTCTTCTTCTCCGGTGGCGACAGGCAAGAGCTGAAGTTGCGAGTGACCGGTCGTATCTGGAAAGAACAGTAACATGTCTTCTGGCCGCTGTGGCTCCTAAACATCGGTGGAGTAAAGAGTAGGATCCTGGTTAGCTGGTAAACTGTTTCGGCTCTAGTGATTTAGCATGCATCTTTGGATATGTCAAAACTCTTTCTTGTATGATAATCTAAAAGCTCTGTTGATTCATTGTCATGGAGACACATGTGAGATCCACAACTATGGCCCTTTTTTGCCATTCCTTTTTCCAAGTTGAGGTTCACTAGAAGCATTGCAATAGTTTGTATGTTTGCTGAGTGCAATGGAGCCTTTAGTTCTTGTAAGTAATTATGAGGGTCTCCAACTCCATTTTGTTGTCATTTCATCTTTGTGGGTGTGTAGAGGTTGGGATGACCTGTTGCAATATTTGGGAGTTCAATTGGCTATAGCCTCACCAATTTTTGTTTATATCTCATTGCTTCAACCAGACAGCCACATTTTTTAGTTGATCAACCAAAGATGGCTTTTTGTCATCTTCTCACCTTTGCTTTAACATCACAAACTTTACCACCCATATGATGCCGATCATATCGGTGCACACAACTGATCTACTTTGAATTTTTCATTCCTATATCTGATTAATAGAGTGATGAACTTGTCATGTTTAACAGCTGTTATTTCTCTTTGTTTCTTAAGGGAAAATTGGGTGATACCTCCATTATTACTATAAATTAAAAGAAAAAGAATGCTCCTTGATGATCAAACACCAAAGATAATAGATTCCATTAACGTAAATCCATCACCCAAACCTGACATGAACCACCTGCAATAATATTATATGTCAAATGATGCTTGTAACATAAGGAAAGTTTCAACACATCATCATACCTTGTTTTATTCCTGGAATGTTCTTTGCTTTGCTCCCAGTTTATATGAGAATGAGTTCAGACAATTGACTTGCAAACCAGTTTCCTGGCATGTATGGTGAAGTACAAAGTACAAAGCCATGAAAGGTCCCTCTCCCAGTTTTTTGCTCTCTCTGCATGCCTGCACTAACCTACAAAAGACCTCTTCTTGATGCCCGAAAGTATCCCTTTGAGATGCCTCCTTCGACCAAAACTAAGCTGCTCACAGCCTCGAGAACTCCACACCGTCGGCAGCTCTGCGTCCTCCGCTTCTCCTTTAAAGCCACGCCCGATCTCCTCTCAAACAATCCTTACCTTCCTCCTCGTCGGAGCACTGATACGTGCCCATGGCTGAGACCTCGGACATCCACGAGGAGATCGCCAAGTGTGAGGCCATGGCCGAGGATGGCCGCTGCGAGGATGCGGAGACGACTGAGAAGAAGAAGAAGAAGAAGAAGATTGTAGCAGATGATCACAAGGAGCAGACGCCGGTCGAGGCGCCGCCGGAGAAGATGGAGCTGGTGGGGTGGTACGTTTTCGGTTTCTGCTCTTACTTTGTGCACGAGTTCCTCGTTCCGGTGCTCTTCCCTCTCATGATCACCCAAAGAGCCTGGCCTGCCTTCGACCTGCCTCCTGTTCCGGCCCACACTCCGAGTGGTGTTGCGTGCTCGCAGAAGGAGATGACTCTGTGAGCTTTCTTTCTCCTAACGCGAATCATGTTAAGTACTGCTCATGACAAGATTGACATGGCTTCAAGGTATTGCACAGATATCAAAGACTGGTCGACCGTTCGATCGCAGTGGACGGGTCCAGGTTCTCCCCTCTAAGTTGGACCACGGTCTCATGGGCGGTCGGCGTCGTCGTGGCCATCCCCATCCTCATGCTCATAGCGCATCACCTCGACCATGGCAATCACCAGCCGCCGATCCTTCTCGGTGCCATCGTAGCCGGCGGCTTCTCCTGCCTCCTCACTGGCTTCTTCAATACAAACTGGCTCTTCCCCCTCTACATCGCCGCCATAGCCGTCGCCAGCATCATTGGCACCGCCGCGCAGGCCCGTCACCTGGGCCTCATGGTGCGTGACCTCACCGGTGGCACCACGGGAAAGCGCCACTTCCGTCGCCGTCAGGCCGTCGGTAGCTGGCTTTCCTTGCATGGCACCGCTGCAGGCTCACTCGGCGCCGCCATCATGGCCGCCTTCACCTACCACATGCTTCGGCGCTCAGACCAGCTCACGAGCTTGTGGGTGGTCTCCATCTTCAGCGGCCTCCAATGGCTCACCGGCATTGTCTACGCCGCCTTCTCAACCAGGTCCGGGAGTTCGACACCAACCACACCGACGTCTCTAGCAAGATGTGCGCATTTGCTCACAATCTTCAAGAATCCACACGCCATCGGAGGCCTCGCCGGAGTGTTCTTATCATCGTTCGCATGCATGTGCGTCTTCGCGAGCTGCATGCTATACGTCATCGGCGACCTTTGCATCGGACCGCCCCTCCTCCTGTCTCTGTGGGCGATCTACTTCACATTCCCGGTCGTGTCCCTCCCCGTGCTGCACCCTGTGCAGCTCGTCGCTCGCGCCGACGCCGTCAGCATGCAACTGCTGGGATTCTTCATGTCGGCGTTCACATCGGGGCTGGGCTTCTCCTTCAGGGAGGAGAGATGGAAGCGGACCCACATAATTCTCGTGTGTCTCCTGCAGAGCACGGCCAACGGGGTCCTGTACGCGTTCGGCAGGGCGTTGCTGATGGACTGCTCCCCGGCGGGCAAAGAAGGGGCCATCGCCGTGTGGTTCGCGTGGGCGAGGGCGGCCGGCGCGTGCGCGGGGTTCGCGGTCGGAACGACGTCTCCCGGAAGCATCACGGCGGCGTTCGCGGCAGCGTTGTTGGCCAGCTTGGTGGGAGTCTTCGTGCTCATCTTTGGAAACGTCAGCCATGTGGGGGCGATAGTGGCTGCCGGCCACGTCAAGGAGGCGGAGAACGGAGATATGGAGGGGAATAGAGATTGAGAAGTCGGATTCGGATAACGATGGCTGCTCCTCCTCGTTGCGGTTGCTTACAGGAATTTGTCGGTATTTGCTACTAATTCTTTCGTTGGGGTCTCTCCGAAGTGAGAATAAATATGTTCTACATTGTCATCCCTTAGTGCTTCCATAAGACTATTCAATTCTTTGTGCTTTATTATTTGTCTTTGTTGTCGGATGATTGATTCGAAAATAAAACAAAAGTTCTTAATTTTCATACCTCAAACAGTATCAATCAAGGAATATAATAGTTAAATAATTTATATTGAGATTTATATTTATATTTCAATATATGACATTAGTATTATGGTCTCTGTAGTTAAATAATTTATATTAAGATCCATATAGTTCTAAAAATAAAAATAAATAATTTTTATTTTTTAATATTATCAATTATATTGATGAAAAACATAACATGTGACATTAAAGTGTAAATAGATAATTTTAAAATTTATTTCGTTTCTAATAATTTTATTGATAAAAATATAATTTCAACGCTTTATATTCTACTTTTGAAAATAGAAGAGATATTAAAAATATCTTTTTACATATCATTTTCGTATCGATTTAACATACGATACCACGTATTATGTTTTCCGTTAATACAATTGATGATATATGGACAAATGAGATTATTTATTTCACTTTCAGAATTTTAAGGATCATAATATAAATTTTTTAAGTATAAAAATTATGATGCTAATAGGGTCAAAACATAAAAAGTAATATGTAATTAGCCCGCTTACAAACTACTATTTCCATAATATTACTTCTTTCTCATTAAAAAAAAGTAAAAATAATTATGTACTTATTTGTAAGCCCATAATTTGATCAAAATAACTCGTTAATACTTATTTATCAATTTAAATTAATCAGGCATTTAGAACTTCCTCGAAATGAAGAGCCTATGTGCATCCCTCCATTTTCCTCTCTTCATCCAAATTCTGTGCAAACAATTGAAATTTTCCCTTCACCCAAAATATGATTCGTGTATTGGGTAAAATAAAAATAAATAAATAATCGCAACACTCGAGACTAATTTTCACAAAATAAAAAATATACTCGAATAATATTATTATAAAAGCATCAAAATATCACCTAATTTATAACCCCCATCTCCCGGCGACGCTAACGGTTTCAAAGCGTTGTTGCTACCGTCAATGACGGCGTTTACATCCGACGTGTGTTCCCTCTCCACGTATACTACTGCTCTGGCAGCGTACCCAAAATCCACAAAACGTCAATCTTGTGTGGGTCCCATCTTAAAGCCAATGATCGTGCGGGTAACGCGCAGATGGGTGACCGAAGGAACGCTTTCGTGGTGCGTGTTCGCAAGCGAAGATTCTTCCACTTGTCCGACGGGTAAATTGGGGTATTGTGTAGAGAGACAGAGGCAAGTTTGTAATTGCGCAGAAGAATCCCGTCGTTCGCGCTTCCTTTGAGTCGCCCGGTGAGCCGAAGGAACGCGTTTACTTCGCTCGGGTTTGGATCCGCTGCTTTTCCCCCTCCACCGACCCGCTCGACAGGCTCGCCAATGGCGCCATGTCGACTCATCCAAGTACACCACGCAGTGACATGGGCATTCCCGTCATTTCGGCCGTGGACTCCGCCCTTTTATATCCGCACCCACACGGCTGACCCCCGGTGACGTTACCCCGAATCGGTGTTTCTCCTAATAGCCTCTTGTACTCCCCCCCCCCTCTCTCGCCTTTCTCCCTCGCTCGGCTCCGGCTTTTGGGAATTCGGGAGAAGGAGGGTTTTGGCGATCGCATTCCCCACCAGGTTCGCTCGTTTCTTGGATCTTTACTCCGACGGATTGTGGGATCTTAACCCATCTGTCGTTTTCCTTGGCGATCAATCGATCTCTTGGCAGTTCTTTTCGTACGGTGTCTGTTTCACTCGTAGGGTTCGCAAGAATCGTGTTCATATCGTTTCTTTGTTCCTTTTGGTTTATTCTTCGACAGAACTACCATTTTCTTGGTGTTTCAGTACGTTATGATCGAGAAAGACTTGCCGATGACCCATTCTTGCTGGCCTTCGTGGGTTAGAATTAGGTCTTCGTTACCCTCTTCTTTTCAACTGTTGCTAACGATCGGAGATTGAGTTCTTGCAGTAAAACCTGTTCTGTTTCTTTCTTTATCTTGTTTATTTTTAGAAGCATACTAACTAGACAACGGGTTTCAACTCGGTGTAGTTGAAGTCCGAGTAAAAATCAAGATACTATATCCTCGTAATGCATATTCGGTCTCTTTTATTTGTCATTAATGGCTTGTGACATGATTGTACCAAGCCAAATAAAGGCGGTGTAATGCTGTGGAAGCCTCTTGTAACAGGTGATCTCTTGGTTGCCAAGTTTTGAGGGAGGGCATAACATGAGAATGTTGCTATGTTTGATGTGGCAGTGATGCCGGCGAAATGAAAGGATGGTGAATCATTCATATAGGTATTCCTGGTTTTGTTAAATTGTTTATCCTTTTAACAAAAGGAGGATGGGGATATAGAATGCACACATTCTGCTTAGATAAATTGTACATCAAGATTTCAGCAGAGAATTGGGACGAAGAATGTCACCGAGTGAGGCATATGGGTTCTTTACCTTATCACTGAAAAGGAACAAAGAAAGCTAATTAAGTAAATCGTGTGTTAATTGGACTATCTCGGATCTGCATTGGTTCAAGATCGGTCAGATTCCTATATATTGAACAAATGAGTGTTTGTCATTTTGTTCTTTGGCTATAGACCAATGTGGTTGCCACCTAACTACATCAAGTGGGAAATTTATAGTGGCTATACACCAATGTGGCTTCCACATAACTAGATTGCATGGGAATTTTTGTAGTGGGGGCAAACATACATGTGGCAGTTTTTCTTCAATTTAGGTTGTTTATCCAAAAGTAGCCGAGTCTCTCATTAATCCCATTAACTAGCATAAAATAACTAGAATCACATGTCATTTTGAGTTTTCAGAATTATAACCAAATACTTCTCCAGACCCACAATCATGTTACCACTGCTATGCTTGGAAGGATAATTATGATGACATTGATGAAGATCTGAATACCGTTGAAAATTTTATTATGTTAACTGTATTATCTAGTTGTTCCCACTCTTTTTTAGTCCAACTCAATTTGTATTTGAAATCAAGACAAAATAGTTGCATTTTTGAAAAAAAAAACCATTTACATATATCAACACCTGTAACAAATATAGCACTCTTTAATAGCTCAGATCTCATATTACAACCATTAAAGAAGGGAAGCCTAGTGAATTGTGCTCTTTCCAACAGAGACATGCAATATATGCAGCCTTACCGTTGCATACAAAGATGCTATTTCTATGACTTGCACTTTTTTCATGCATGATGCACATGAGCAACTTTATCATGTTTATCATGGCACTATCTCATAAATGCTCTATCTTTTCTTTGTTTGGTCACGACTAAAATACTAATGCAATGCACATTGTGCTAACGTTAAAGGTTATTTCCTTCTAAGAAAACGTAAGCTTAGGTAATTTTTGTATTAGTAACTTTGTAGGCTCACTGGTTTACAACAATCAATGCATGCCATAGAACCGTTTAGCTGAAGTATTTGTCTTAATGTTATTGATGAGAAAAATGCTGAAGATCAAGCATTTTAATTTCTGTTGAGATTAGAATTTGCTTGTTGTCTTACATTGAGGCTTCTCCATTCAGCAATCCAGCTACTGGTTGCAACAGATGACTTGTCTGAATGCTGGCCATGACCCTGTGATGTGGGCTCCTGAAACATGCCTCTCTCTCTCACTCTCTCTCTCTCTCTCTCTCTCTCTCTCTCTTTTAGTTTTGTTATATGGACATATGCACTGCTTTACCTTCCATTCAACCTAGGCAGGCATTTTCTGATGCCTACTGATATACATGCTATATTGAAGTCCTGCTTCTTGAGCACATAGACCTGCAAATTAATTCCTTTTTGGGAGATTTCTCTGAACCAAGTGGGCTTGTTATCTCTTGGAAAGAAAAGAAAGCAAGTTTTTGTCATCTCTCCCTTTATCCCTTCTGTATGTACTCTGTGCACAAATTTTTTTAGCAGTCAAAATTTGTCTGCTTAACTCCCCTTATCCCCTTCCTTTATCCATTCTGTATCAAGGAATAAAATTTAGGTAAATGATAAGCTAGAAATGCCTCTGGTAATTTTTTCCCCTTTCAAACATTCCATACTTCCAACTTTTCTTCAACTGTAGTTAAACTAGGCTTTCAACAGATTGTCAAATTAAAATCTCCCACCAAAAAGTGAAAGAAACATTATATTGTATTAGAACAGGTTAACTGCATTTCTCTTATGCTCGTTCTGTGATGCCTTCTATCTCGAGTATTTAGCACAGTTCTTCTCTTTTCTCTCTTCTGTTTATTTCTTCATGTTCCTGGTTGCCATTTACAATCGTTCCCTTTGATCCTTTTGTCTTTATAATTATTCTGGAATTAACTTTCTTTTGCTATGTTCATCCAGGTATATTTGGCTGGTTCACAATTCCTGATTTGGCATTGTGGCATTGGTCCATCTTTAAAACACCAGTTGTGTGCTTGGCGTACGATGAATTAATCAAATCTTTTGGCCTTCAAATGAAGAATGCTCATCAGAACATAGTTTTTGAAGTGAAATTTGCAGTACAATGAGTAGACCGAATACTCGCAACAAGAATAAGAGGCAAAGATCCGAAGACAGCAGTGATGCGTCCTCTGTGACTCTGAGGTTCTTTTCTTTTTTCCACAGGATAATAACTGAAAACTTAAATCCCTTTTTGCTTGCTGGTGACTTGCCTTATTTTTCCAGGAAAATACACTTAACTGGTGCAGCTACCAAAGATGATATAAGGCGGCTTTATTCTGTATTAAAGCCTATTTGTCAAGGTTGCCGTGGAAATTCAAAAGATTCCCCTAATTGCTTTTGTGGGCTGATTCCACCACCTAATGGAACAAGGAAAACTGGATTATGGCAGAGGATGCCAGAAATCATCCTTTCTCTTGGTCCAAATCCTTGCAAGGATCTTCGTTCTTCAACAGATACTCCAGCTGGCCTGACTA